TAAGTGGGGTCCTACTCTATACCGTTGCCGAAAGGCTATTGAGAATGAGCGGTTGTGCTTTGAGTGGTTGAGAAATACTTGTCCTAAGCACCCTAACTCTAACCCCTTGCCCCAACCCCAACAATATTGTGTACATCAATTGAGGCTACATAACCACATCTTATCGAGGAAATTACCAACTGATCCGATTGCACCCTCCAGAACATCCGGAAACCACGGTTGGTTTATCAATACGCGGTATGAGGGTCTACTGTCATTTGTTTTCCAGTCCTCGGATTCGTTCAGGCAGGATGCTTTTTCTAAAAACCTTTTATTACCTTGCCGGTTTCCTTGGTGAAAAGTGTTTTATGCCCTCCTGTGTGGACCTGCAACAATAAACACATAAAATCTGCATTGTTCTTTGTAGATCATTCAGTCCGAGCTCCAAAAAGTCATAGTTCCTGGGAGAACTACGGATACGACTGCTTTAAACCTAACTACACTCTCATTGGAATTTCAACTTAAATCTCCAAGGATGCGACCCCTAAAGGCGTTTCTAAGGCGTGTTTGTTGACTGCCAGAAAATCGATATCCACGCGTACTTACGGGCTGCCAAAAACCCGCGCTGAAGATTTTCGTTCAGTTTGACAGGCGTGCGATCTGAGTATCAAAGTGCCTTTCGAGGTGATGAATATTCACCCAAATGTGCATATTGAAATGGTGTTGCGACAGTTGGTAGACTCTTTGTACTAACGTTAATTCGGAATTCCTCGAGAAAAGGCATCAAGACAGAGCAGAAGAGTGATGGCATTGAATAAATGGAAATTAATCCACAAGTAACGATGGGGTTAGAAAGATTAAATTGGTGCAAGACCGACGTTGTCATGATCTGGCAATGATTACATGACTTTGATGTAATGGAGATAGAAGTATACTGTAACTAAAATCAGTAAGAGTGGGCGTACGCCAATTTTTTGCCAGATGACTATGAAGGACAGGCAGCCTCATACCGGAACCATCAGATCGTGTGCTAAGTGTCGGTCAACAGTTCCCCTTTAGACCACAATACTATCGAAGCAACTTTCGAGTTTATGTAGTATTTTTTTTATTTTCAAGAGCCCTTCTTCCAGAAAGTCGGTTCTGACGACCTTTTAAGGTGAAAGCAGTCCAAACATACTGCGTGCTGTATTTAACAAACTGTTCTGGCATAGGGCCGTGGGAATTTCAGCGTTTCCGAAATTCCCGTGAACACTACTCACTCCGGAAGTACTTGTTTAGAATAATTCACGATTTCATGGCAGTAATAGGGGAAATATTTGAAGCAAATTTGTTTTTGAAAAACATATTGTAAGACCCTGCAGTAGTCTGATCCTCGAAGTTTCCGCACAAATTGACTTGACAAACACGCGTCCAGATGCACTCTCAAAATTCAAAACCATATCTTGATCTCTCAAATACTAACACGGACGTACCCTATGAATGTTTATTAAAGACATTAACTAGTGCTGATTGGGAACAATGCACAGGATCTGACAATTTCGACTTTATTCCGTCTTTTTAAGCAAATTTAAGCAATAAATTATGGTCTGGAACTTTCTACACTATCCTGCCTCTTTATATTGTGTCTAGAGATAGCTGGTTCTTCTAACCTATGATTTCGGCGTTTTAATTTTATTTTTTTCTGAATAAATTGATCCTGCTATATATTTTCATCCCGTTATTTTTGCCATAAGGTGACTGGATGAAACATGCGGCTTATTTCTGCTCTAACCTCATTATCTGCAATCACACCACATTCAAATATTCGGGTGTGTTTTTGTTATTTTCGGAGAATTATGGGATGGATAATCCAATGTCTCCAATCACGGTTGCAAGCAATACTTAATGCTTGACTGACCCTCAGCACTTCACAGTCAGTATGGTCTCTAAACCCGGATCACCATGGTAACAACGGGATGCGTATTTCCACCCTACATTTGGCATAGAACAATAAACGTCACATTCATAGAATTTCATGCATGCACGTGCGTTACAGTTCGACCGACGATGTCCACCGTGTAACCCACAAGAAGAACGACGACTTGCGCGGGAATTACCTTTTATTAGTCGGCACTATCCTACGACGACATTTCAGTACGGTCAAGCAATTTTCTGGTCGGATTATAGATGACGTTGTCCATCCCTTGCATTCTAGTCTTATTTCTGCGAAGTCTTCCCGCCCGATGCACCGCAGCTTCCGACTTATGTCCTGTCGCACATCGGCTTTTCGAGCTTCTGTGCTGGTATACATGGCGCGTTATCTTACGTGCGAAGAGAAAGAAGTACGGAAGCTAAGACTTGAACTGTCCTCATGATAATCGTTCCTTTTGTTGAAGAAGGAGACACGATCGCCGAGACAAGAGCTTTATTAGCTTGACGTTTCGGATTCCTACTCGACTCCATCATCAGAGACAAAAAAGCAGAAACGGGTGGTTGTTGCACAAGGAGCTGCGGTATTTGTAGAATGCAGTAGCCATGCTACCCCATACCTATGAACATTCGCGGCTCCCCGCTTCATCCGGGATCGTAGCACTTGATGTGATCATTGCTTGATGGTCGACATTCGAGTCGATAATTGCTGCAATTTCATCACGCGCGTTGGATGTTGGTGTGATGATTGCTCGACTATCTGACGCACCGACCCCGGTGTTGGGAAAAGTGTTCACCTCTGCGCTCCCCGCATGGCTTGTTACTCCGCCTAGGCGAAGTTTTATCACGGAGTATGGAGTGGGAAGATCGTTACACTTGTTGATGGATTGAGGGCCAGTAAACCATAATTCCAGTAGCTCCCGGCCCACGCGGTTGTCACCTCTTGCGAGAATTTCGGCCTCATCGAATTTGAATGTGTGGCCGGATCTCGTCGAATGAGCCGCAACTTGAGAGCTGGAGTCATATCTGCGCACCGCTGCCGCGTGTTCGACCATTCTCGTTCGGAGCTGTCTTCCGGTTTCTCCGACGTAGTTGCCTTGTCCGCAACTGCACTAGATCCGATAAACGACTCCATACGTTTTTAGCCGTGGCAGTGGGTCTTTCGGTTTCATGTCCAGACGCCCGATGGTTGCCTCCGGTCTGTGTGCCACTCCAACCCCAAGTGGTGCGAGAAGGCGACCGACAGCTTCCGAAACGTTCTTGACATACGGAAGTGCGGTTGGGTCTTTCGTCCCTTTTGCGTATGCACCGGTCGGCCAAGTTGCGCGGGTAGACATTGGCTTTGAAGACCCGTCGAAGTTATTGTAGTTCGCACTGCAGTGAGTCGGTAGACTTGCGCTGTACTTAGCGCCTTCTTTTCTCCTCACTCACCTGCTGTCAAGAAGACCAGAGACGGTAGAGGACGCAGGTGGTTGACACAACAAAACTGCGCACCTAGACGTGTCAACACGCGCATGGTTCGCACTCAAAGAACCAGGATTTCACACAGCGGGGAAAGGGATATGGCGGCTCGGATCCCGACTGTGTGGGAGTGTCGTAGAGGCCACATGTAGAGAGGAGGCCATTGCAGCCTGGCTTTTTGTTCTGAAAGGAGGACCGATTAATCCTACCAATTGGTGGCCTTCCAAGCCACAGCTCTTAGCACGCCGTGGTAGATTTAAGAGCGCCAAGCGAGAAATATGCTCTGGGAGGGTTGATGTCGCTCTCCTTTCACCTTCAGGTTGGTCAGATATCAGTATCAGCGTATTTCAGGGAAAGTAGGTGTGTACCTTTGAAATCCCTATTGGTTACTTGCAGAGGAAGTATATGGAGAATTTGGAAAGGAAGTAAAATGAAAGAAATAAAGGGGAATAACAAAAACTGCACTGATGAACACATAATTTCATGCATTAACGGCATTTGAAGGCATATGAATTCGGTTTGTTGATTAAATGCAGCAGACAGTTAAAGCACACTTGAATATTGGTAGTGACAGTTCGACCATCGATTTCGATGATGTCCACCGTGTGCCCCACAGCAGGTTGGAGCAGGGACGGTGACCTGCGCAGGGGTTTATAGTGCCAGTAGACTTGCGCTGCATCTACCTACACTCTCTCCACCTCCCTCGCCCGAGCCCGGTGTCAAGACAGAGTCAAGAAGACCGGAGACGAGGGAGGCCGCAGGTGGATGGCTCGGCCGGATCCTCACCTTGGCGTTCCACCACACCCCCTGGTCCACACAACAATAACCGGGATTTCAACCAACACAACGGAGATTTGGAGGCTGGCACGGCCGAAGCCGCACCTAGGCGTGCCGCCAACGCCTGGCTCGGATCCCACACTGTGGTGGGAGTGCCATAAAGGCCACATTAAAAAGGAGCCATTGCAGCCTGACTCTCAGACCGCCTCCCGTTAAGGAGGAGGTCCAAGGTACCCCGTCAGTTGGCAACCTTCCAAGCCACGGCTTTTAGCGCACCGTGATAGCTTCAAGCGCGTCAGATTGATTATAGTGAGGAGAAAGTGCGCTGAGTCGTCGACCTCACTCTCCCTTCCCATTCCCACACTCCAGCCGCCGTCCGAGCCGGTCGGCAAACTGGAGTGGCGAATGGGCGCGGTGGCTGGCACGGTCGACTGACCGTGACTGCGCGCGCCACAGCACGACCTGGCCCCCCATACACACACAAACACCAGGATTTCACACAACGGGGGTTGAACGGCGTGTTTCTCACTTGCGTGAGGGGGCCGTGGAAGGTGCTGCTTCAGCCCGTTCCCAGCCCACCAGCCCACCAGTCCGCTACTCCACACAGCACACACACACACAACGCGACGAACTGCGTGAACCGAGAGCGGGCATCAATCAGCAACCTTCCTATCCACGACACTTGACGTGTCGGGATAGTCTCGGACTCAAATCACCCGTACAGCCGAAGCCGCGTGGGAACCGAAACGAGATGCACACTTCCCAATTGCGTGGAAGGTGGCAGTTGGTGCATGCGGTGGGTAAGTGTTGATGTGTGTTGGTGATGGTGGAGGAGGGTAGGGAGTGTGTGGATGTGTGGTGTAACCGGCGGTTGTCTACCGCAGGTCGTCGTGGATGCGCATGTGGCCGAATAGGCCCATGCGGTGCCTGAAAGTGCGAGGACAGTGTGGACAGTTGAGACGAGCTTGGTGGGTGTAGGTTGGTGCTCCAGGCACCGGTTCTCCGCTCTCTGTGCGATGGATTCGCAAGTGACCGACCAGGCCGATGCGTGAGGTGAGTGTGCGTGGACAGTGTGGGCACGTGAAGTCGGCGGTGTCAGAATCAGCTACAGAGGAGGCGTTGGTGGTGGCGCAGATGTACGGTGCGAGGGTGGTGCTGGGCATGATGGGCGTGGTTGGTGTGTCGGAATTGTGGTCGATTCCGCTCTCGTAGATGCGCATGTGGCCGAAGAGGCCCATGCGATGCGTGAAGGTGCGAGGGCAATGTGGGCAGTGGAGGCGAGTGCGGTGGGTGTAGGTTGGTGCTTCAGGCACTGGTTTGCTGGTCTCTGTGCGATGGATTCGCAAGTGACCGACCAGGCCGATGTGTGAGGTGAAGGTGCGGTCGCAGTGAGGGCAGGTGTAGTCCTGATTCTCATTGCTGGAGGCAGGAGATTCGGCGGTGGTGCCGGTTGTTGTGTCGCGGTCGGAGATTTGCGAGACGGCTGACTGAGCGGCCGCCGTTGAGGCAGTGGTGGTGGTGGTGGTGGAGGAGGAGGAGGAGGAGGAAGATGGAAGTGGTGGTGCAGAAGAATTCACAGAGTTATTCGGCGGCAGAGAGGACGATGATGACGCGGGCGGGGGGATGAAGTTTGGTGCAGTTCGAGAGGTACAGTTGATCCGAAAATGTCCAACAAGGCCGATTCGAGCCCGGAATGTCCGCTTACATCGAGGACACGTTGGAAGCAGTTGTGCGGCAGCGTTGCTGACTGAGCGCAGTTGTGATTTGCGGGCTTCGCGTTTCGCTTTGGCGGCGGCGATGCGGTTGGCTTCGTGGATAGCAGCGTCCGTCTTTACTGTTCTCCTCCATGCCGGACGATCGCAGGCGAGCTCTTCCCAGTTGGTCGGGTTGATTTGCAGTAGCTTCAGGGAGGACCTCAGGGTATCCTTGTATCTACGAATTGGGCCTCCTTGACGACGAGAACCCGTCGCGACGTCTCCGTAGAAGAGTCGTTTGGGTAGTCGCTCGTCGTCCATGGGCACCAGGTGGCCGCTCCAGCGCAGCTGCATTTGTCTCAACATGGAGTAGATGCTGAGCATTCCCGTTCGTTCCAGCACTTCGGTGTCGGGGATGCGATCCTGCCAGTTCAGCCGCAGGATGCGACGAAGACAACTGAGGTGGAAGTGGTTCAGACGGCGTGCCTGCCTCGTGTACACCGTCCAGGTCTCTGCTCCGTACAGTAGCGTCGGCGGGATAACGGCCTTGTACATCTTCAGCTTCGTGTTCAGTTGAAGACCGTGACGATTCGAAACTGTGCTTTGGAGACGACCGAAGGCTTGACTGGCTTTCGAGATCCTGTTGGCGACTTCGTCATCAATCTTGGTGGTGCGGGAGAGAGTACTGCCCAGGTACGGAAGTTCTCCACCACTTGCAGTTGGGTCCCATTCACGCTGGTTTGCGGCGGCGCGTTGGGGGCTGTGGCTGATTTGGGTGGCGGTTGGTGCATCACCACTGCCTTCTGCGTGTTAATGACCAGACCGAAGTTCTCGCAGGCGGCGGAGAAGAGGTCCATGCTGCGTTGCATCTCCTTTTGCGAGGTGGTGTTCAGGGCGCAGTCGTCGGCGAAGAGGATTTCGTGAACGGTTGTTGTGGATACGCGTGATTGGAAGTGCATCCGCCGTTGATTCAGGAGGTGACCGTCCGTCCTGTAGGCGATGCGAATCCCGGGACGTTCGTCGCGGTAGGCGTCCATCAGCATGGCAGAGAACATAAGACTGAAGAGGGTTGGTGCCAGCACGCATCCCTGTTTCACTCCGTTAGTCACTGCGAATGCCTCTGAGACAGCTCCGTTGTCCGTGACTCGCGCCATCATACCGTCGTGCAGCTGACGCACCATCTGAGTGAATCGCTCTGGACAGCCGAATTTCTGCATGATCTTCCACAGACCTGCACGATTCACCGTGTCGAAGGCTTTCGTCAGGTCCACGAAGGTAGAGTACAGGTGGGTCCGCATCTCCTGACACTTCTCCTGAAGTTGGCGGGCGGCGAAGATCATATCCGTGGTCCCACGATGACGACAGAAGCCGCATTGGCTTTCCGGCAGAAGGCCCTGTTCCAGGTGGTTATTGAGGCGGTTGAGCAGGATGCGAGCGAAGATCTTCCCGGCGATGTTCAGCAAGAAGATGCCACGGTGATTGTCGCAGACTTGGCGATTCCCTTTTCGCTTGTATAGGTGCACGATAGTTGCGTCCTTGAAATCTTGCGGGACTTCACCTTGACGCCACATCTCCTGGAAGAGCGCAGTCAGGTGATCCATCAGTAGGGGACCTCCGTGCTTGTAGACCTCAGCAGGGATTGCGTCCGATCCGGGTGCTTTCCCGCTGGAGAGCTGCTGCACGGCCCTGATGGTTTCCTGGAGAGATGGCGGGAGGTCTAGGTCCGCGTTGGTCTCGACTTGCGGCAAACGCGCGATGGCGGCGTCGGAGATGGCGGAAGGGCGGTTTAGGACGCCTCGGAAATGCTCGGCCCATCGCTGAAGGATTTGCGTCTTCTCAGTCAGGAGAGTACTGCCGTCGGCGCTGAGGAGAGGAGCAGTGCCCTTTTTCGGCGGACCGTAGACAGCTTTGATCGCAGAGAATAAGTTCTTCCATTCGCTGCGGTCCGCGTACCCTTGGATCTCCTCAGCTTTGCGAGCAATCAAGGCGTCCTGCATCTCGCGCAGTCGCTGCTGGAGGTGGCGGCGACTGCGGTAGAAAGCAGCTTTGTTATCGTCAGTGGGGTGATCGACGTAGGCTTTGTGTAGGCGGTTCTTCTCAGCAAGCAGATTTCTGATGGCGGCGTCGTTGTCGTCGAACCTGTCCTGGTGTTGGCGGGGAGCGCGACCGAGGACGGTGAGCGCCGTCGCCTGGACCGTGTCTCGCAGTTGACACCAGCGGTTCTCCACGGAGGCGTTCTCGGCAGCGGCGGCATCGGCGATGGGGAGGTTGTCTAGCCGTTGAGCTAGCTCATTGCTGAAATGGAGATGGTGAGCGGGCAAGGACAACAAGGCAACATTCAGCTTACCTGGGGGGCGCTTACCTTGAGGTCTCCTGCGAGGCTGTAGGCGAATACGCATCTTCGAGATGAAGAGGCGATGGTCGGTCCACCCGTCAACACCCGCGATCGCCTTCGTCACCAGCACGTTCCGCTGGTCACGCGATCGGACGAGGACATAGTCCAGCAGGTGCCACTGACGCGACCGAGGATGCCTCCAGGTGGCCTTCTCTCGCTCCGGCAGACAGAAGAACGTGTTTGTCAGGATAAGGCGGTGTTCTGCGCAGGTGCGGAGCAGCAGCAGACCATTGTCGTTGGAGCCGCGGAGACCGTGGGGACCCAGCACTCCTCTCCAGGCAGTATGGTCTGTGCCGACGCGGGCGTTGAAGTCGCCAAGGACAACCAACTTGTCCGCCATCGACACAGTCGCCAAGAGGGTGTGCAGGTCCTCGTTGAATTTGTCTCTGACGGCGTCGGGGTTGGTCATCGTCGGAGCGTAGGCGCTGATGATGGTGGCGAATTTGCCTCCCCAGAGAGGCAGGCGGAGGCTCATCAGGCGATCGTTGATGCCCTGCGGTAAACAGGGCAGTCGTCCCTCGATGTCGGTCCGGATGGCGAAGGCGACGCCCGCGTCTCGTCGCTCTGCCCTGGGTCGGCCACTCCAGAAGAAGGTGTAACCGGCACCCACCTCCTCCAGTTGGCCTTGTTCGGAGAATCGGGTCTCGCTGAGTGCGGCGATGTCCACCTTGTAGCGCGCCAGTTCTCGTGCCACTAGCGCCGTCCTCCGTTCCGGTCGGTTGCTCCGCGGATTGTCTAAAAGGGAACGAACATTCCAGGCTGCCAGAGTGAGCGGACTCACCCTGCCAGTCTGGTGACGACGAGTGGGGCGAAGGGAGGGAGATGGAGAAGAAGGTGACGAAGGAGAAGAATAGGCAGAGGAAGAGGTAGAAGAGGTAGGATGAGGAGAATGAGTATGGTTGTTGTTGTTATTGGTATTGTTGTTGTTTCGATTTTGATTGTTTCGACCATGATTAGACGTCTGCCGCCCTGGCTAGCCTGGAGACGGCGTGGTACCCAGCAATGTTTAGGCCACCTTTTCTAGGCCCTTCCCCTCGTGGGGGCAGGCAGTGCCGCCCCTGAATCGGGCTGCCCATGTGCCTGGTTGGCGCGACCGATCCCACTATGGGGCCACGACTTTTATGTTCGTAGTGGAGAACGACCGTATATGCCGTGAGTCCGCGGTCTCCGTCGGCGAGGGTGGGCGCGTCTCAGCGAAGGCGATGCGGAGACCCGTCCCGGCAGCAGTTATCCAACGGCGTACCAGGCAGAGCCTCGTCTCGACGATGCCGGCGCAGTGTTTCATCCGACCATCCATCCAGCGGAGTCCGCAGTACACTGTGCACGCGGCACAAGCGCACAGCGCCCTCACCTGGTTTAGCCCGCCGGTCGAGACGGTTGCCCGGGGTGTGGCCGCTGAGCAGAGCCCAGCTACGTGGAGCCACAGGTGAGAGTTGGGTGCCAGCGAATGGACCCTAGGCGTAGTCTCACCTGCAAGCAAGTGAGCGACCACTACGACCATCACGTGAACCCACCGCTGACACCCTTACACCCCAATATTGGTATTACCATTGTCATAACGCTGAACTGCCAACGTTGGCTATCACCGTGGCTGTAGTCCGACGTTAATGTGGTGAGCCTTCCAATGTTGATCTAGCCTCCGTTTAAATGTGTCTACGGATGCCGACATAACAACATCCTCAGGCAAGGCCTTCCAAGCTGCAACCACTCTGTTGGAGAAGAAGAACTTTCGTGTGTCTATCCGGGCACCAGTCACACGTAGTTTGACTGGATGGCCTCTCAGGTTAGTCGGAGTGGCCAAGTCGAAAAAGTCTGTAGATGCGAGGCAGCAGCTCTGATTGTGAACGATGCGGAGAGCTTGTATCAGGGGTCCCCACGTAACTGTATGTAACTTATAGGAAAGAGGTCAAGGTTAGCTAATCGTGTTTCGTAGGGTAGTGACCACTGCCCAGATACAAGTTTCGTTGCTCGCCGTTGAACTTTTCGAGTATGCCGAGGTCTTTAGCGGTCCAGAGTCTCCATGATTGGATAGCAAATTCCAGATGCGGTCGCACAAAAGTTCCAAAGACCTCGGCAAAGCAGTCTCCATTAAACGAAGAGAACGCCCGTTTGACGAGGTATGGAATGGACATCGATTACTTGGCTACCTTTGAGCATTACAACAAAATCTTAAGTGAGGTTGTGATCCATACACCCAATTGCTTCTGGGTGTCGACTTCTTACAGTGGTTTGCCAGTCAGACGGTAGACCGTGCGGTTAGCAGAACTTGCTCCGCCGACACTTGTTCACGCTGAAAGGTAGAAGCCAGTCTTTTGAGCATCGCTCGAGGTGATTTAGATTTGTTTGCAGTCGCGTCTCGTCATCTTCGCTTCGTATGGTACTCCAGATCTTTATGTCATCAGCAAACATTGCGACAGCGCAATCCAGTTCGTTTGGGCAGTCGTTGACATATATAATGAATAGTGTAGGACCAAGAACGGAGCCTTGGGGAACACCATTCCAAACGGCAACCTCAGCAGAATACTGGTCACTGACGTGGACGACTTGAGAGCGGCCGAGTGAAAAGCTTCCAAACCACATCAGAACCTTACCCCACACTCCTTTACGGTTGAGCTTACACTGAAGGCGGTGGTGAGGCACACTGTCAAAGGCCTTTTTAAAGTCGACATAGGTGACATGCACCGTATCTCCTCTAGCAACAGCCCTAGTCCAGTGTTCCAGACAGTAGAGCAAGTTTGTCAGTTTGTCAGTGAGTCTATTTAAGATATTACATCTAATAGTGCTACTAACGCGTATAAAGTAGGGTGTTAACACAGCAATTATATGCCAGGTTGCGGGTTACTGCAGAGAGAGGGGGGCAGTGTCAACACAGAGCTACAAGGGTGACCATAGACGCTAGCTTGTCAAGGAAAATATAGGAGCACAAGGCTTTCATAGGGCTGCCTAGCCTTCAAAAACTGTCTGTCTTTCGGCCGGCGCCCATCAGGGCACTGCTTTTTCGAACAAACGTATCTACCAGGGAATGCTGAAAAACAGGCTGGAATATGGACGACCCTTCGAGTTCAGATGATAATTCACCCGGTCGCCCGCCAGTTCACATTTCCGCCTGCAGTGATCGCTTCGAGGACACGTTTGAAAATGGCGCAATCGGATGTGATTATAAATCACCACTTTCTCCTCTTGTTGAGGTCTTCCGCGTCCATAAAAGTTCTGTCTTGAAAAATAAAAGAGCCTTAGTGAAAAATATTATGAAATACAAATTTTACTGGAATGTAAGCCGTTCAAAAGGTAACTAAACTTTTTAATAACTCCCTTCTCATCCTTAATCTGATAACAGAAAGTAGATTGTATCATGGAAAAGAAGGTGAAGTCACCAAAACAGGTGGGATGTTCCATAAGTTTGATACAAATAAAAGGAAAGTTATTTCGCAAACATGTGTTTTCGGTAATGCTTTATCAGGCCAAAACAGTTACATGGAAGTTGAAAATATGCGAAGTTCACAGGGTTTATAAGTGACTCAGGGGCTATTAACACTCATCGTTCCCACGCCACCCGCATGGTGAGATCGGCGTGTTATGATCATTGGGTTAAGCGGGCGAGGGGAAGTGGTGACATAGGCTGTGGGTGTTTAAGTCGGGTACGTTAAGCACACATCACTGCCATCAGGAGGTTGGGGCGACGTGCAGTCATCATCTGGGGTCGGCGTTGACCACGAAAGACATAGCGCCTGTCTCAACCTCTTCTGACAACATAGCACTGGATTTGTTAGCTGTATAGTCACTACCTCAGCTGTGGATAGCACCCGTTGGCGTAGGCCTCTGGAGAAGCTTGCTGGTGCACAATAGACAACATGAAAGGCTTCTTTGGCATGGACTCCGTGATTCGTGTCGACAGGATGTGCGAGAGTAAAACTCGAAATCGATTCCTTTTCACCTCTACTTAGCCAGGGCGGTATGTGTTTGCGTACTCTCCTTTCCAAGTGTCTCGTTGCACGGACAATGTATTCCGCTCCACAGGAGCAAGTGGATGAGTAAATACACATTGAAGTGGGTTGCAAACTGAGCGGTCTTTACCTCCCAAGCGTAGAAGGGGAGAGTTCGTGAAACATATGCATAAGTTCGCCGCAGGGAAAGCGCTTATGATCGCTGTCTTCTAATGTCTTTCAAGGTCACTTGTTGCGTCCCCTTGAAAAGATAGTCTTATAAATTAGTCTCTCTATTCTGCAGTTACTATAGTGGGCCTTGCACTGCGCTCCCCTATATTTCGGAGGATAAATCTTTCTGGGTATCCGTTTTCGTGGAGTTTATCCCGCAGCTGCTGGAGTTCTGCCTCAACAGTCTCAGCAGAGCAGATACGACGCACTCTAGCCGCCAATCCCTGTACCAAATTATGTTTAATATTCAGGGGAACAAAGCCGGAAAAGTAATGTATTCTCCCGTCAAGGTTTTTTCGGAATACCATACGCTGGATAGATCCATCCTCTTGTCTGTGCAGAAGAATATCGAGGAACGCGATTTCGCTGTCTGCCCCAAACTCTGTAGACAACATTAGCGAGGGGTGTGCACTGAAATAGATTGAGATTATGTCACATGATAAAGAACATTACAGCCCTACGTAAATGCTATTTCGAACTGAACGCATTTAAACGTAGTTCATGTTTACGGAAAAAAATCCATTGTAAGGCTACAGTGTAAAGATTAATCATCACTTTATATAAAAATAAACTAAACTAAAAAACCGTCCCCAACAGCCTGTCCTCATTGCGTATGTTTCCTTGATTAACTAAGTTAAATATAGGCGTAAGAAAAGAATACACCACATCGGTGCGCTATCTTTAGAAACGTAATTCCTAACAGGTGAGGTTTTGGAGGGTCTGCGGAGTTTGCGCGGGACTACCAGTCATAAGTCCAACCATGTCTTTACTTCTAAAGTTAGACTACAGCAGACGACGTAAGTTCACGTGCTTTGTAGGCCTAACAATTGCTGAGTAATTTTCTTGAGAAAAGTAGTCAGGAAAATCTACTTTAAGCATTTCTGCTCTGTTTGATTAGGCTGTCATTAGGCAAAAAATCCAAAGTCTGAAAGTAGATATACGGGCTCTGTCTTAACTCATAAACTGTTGACATGACTATCGAAATGTGATCCCGACCGCAAAGTGTTACCTAGGGGAAGTTATCATACCTAATCTCTCAAAGCATTGTTTTAAGATATTGCAGCCACCCGAGAATTATCGAAACCCCCTACAAGTGCAATTATATTTTATGAAAAGCACAAGTAAATATTCTTTATTATTTTCACTTGGTAGCCAATTATGTCTTTTTTAAAAAAGGGGATGGAATTTGGCTTCAAAATGTTTGTAGTTTTTACACTTGAGAAAATCGTGATATCGTTGTTTTCGCGTATCCGTTTTTGTGGAGTTCTCTCTCAGCAGTCTCAGGAGAGCAGAAGTAGAGAGTGTAGCCGAAGGGGGGGGGGACTTTCCATAAATCTGAAAACAATTAAATTTGAATGAGGACAACAAAAGAATCTAAGCACTGCAAAATATGGACTCAAAAGCAGACAATAATAGAATATACCCAAGATTCAAATAACGTCATTGACAAATTAAAAGGAGTAAGGATTACAACCGACAGGATAACGGTTTTAGTCCATGTGGTCCCGCTCTTCATTTCGGTTCCGTAAGATTTAGAGAGCAGTTACACCGAAGAACTCCTAAAGGCCAACGTTTTGCTCCAGCTAAAAGTCAACGTCCCCGTTGTCAACCGATGTTGTCGGCAACAGAGAGGCATTTTATAGTTTCGCCAACATCTGGCTTCCTGTGAGAAACCATAACCCAAAACGATGGCTGTGTACTTTAGATGACACATGTGTAATTGGCAAGAAAAATCAGCTACAGTAGGTGGGCTAACTTACGAAATGACAGGCGAAATTTCGAAATGCGTTCTCGTTTCGAAAAGATTAATTAAGTAGGGCTCTTAAATAATCATCCTGCAGCATAATTCTATAATAATCCAGTTACCTCAGGGTGTAGACTTTCAAAAGAACTTCTTCTCTACTGCATGCAAGAACAATATTCTGTAAAAAAATGACTGCGTAAGTAGCATGCAATTTTCTCATTAATTTTCGATGCCCTTAAAAACGAAATTATATTAGATGGAAAACATGCATAGAAATACTCACACTTTTGCTCATTCCGTAGAAAATGGTGTCTTCTTCCAATTGTATCCTCAAAAGAATAGTATAATTCGGTTTTAGAAAAGTTTCTGCCTGTGCGATTTTTTAATACCGTGAAATGGTTATTCATAAAACGTCGTCTCTGTATTTACTAATTTGGTTTGTAAAGTTAACAATATGGCTTAAATCCCCTGCTAAATTTTATGAAGCCTACATAATCTTCTCTTAATACCGTAGAAAAATGTGTGGTTTTCCATACACAGAAAATATACGGCTTGTAGTTTTGAAACCCTGAATGCAAGTGTGACGACAGATCGGGTTCAAAATTATTCGGAAATTGGAAAATTTTTTGAAAACTGAACTCAACACTTTCTTAAAGCATAAAATTGGAAGATGTAATTTTCTACCTAAAGAGTGAAAGAGTGAATACTTTTATGCATGTTTTGCATGAAGTATATTTAAATTGTTATGGGCTTCAAAAATCAGTGAAAAAGTTGCATCTTAATTAAGTAGTCATTTTTTGCGGAATATAATCCTTGCAAGCAGTCGGAGAGAAGTTTGATCGAAAGCCGGCACCGTGAGGTAATTGGATTATTACAGAATTATGCTGCAGGATGATTCGTTTTACAAGTCTACTTAATTAATCTTTTCGAAACGAAAAGGATTTTCGAAATTTCGGCTGACACTTCATGAATTAGCCCACCTACCGTAGATCTGTTCCACACGAATCTTGATTCTAAAGTTCCCGAATCACGTTTGCATTCTAAACGGTGACTGATGGAAAACTCCCATTTCTGGATCTTCTTGTACGTCAAAAAATTGATAGATCACTTCACACACATTGTGAGAGTAACTAGCCCGTTGCTCATAAAAGGCCTATTACGTCCGGACAAAACATCGCTTTACTGAGGCAGGTTATCAAACAGAAATGAAATGTTCCTTCAAGCTATTTTCCACAATTGATATACGCTTAACTTTAATGCAGAATGAGCTCAAGCGGAAAGGAATTTCAAATGCTGCGGCCACCCAGGCACCAAAAGCAGTTCGTTCAACGGAGTTACGGGGAGTTTTGGGATGGGGGAAGGGAGACCTATTACGGTTCTGTGTCCTGGGGGAGAAGGGTATGGTGAATCACCAGGAATGCGGGTGGTTGGTTGTTGATATGACACAGGGCTAGAGGTCAGTGGGCCAGCGTTGACGGTATTAACACTTTCGGTTGAGGTTCATCGTGTCGGAGGTAGAAGCTGGCGAGGGAGTGAAATTCTGCACGGCTGAGTAGGGATTAACAGTTGTTGAGGGGTGGACACATGTTTGGGAGCGTTCAAGTAAACCTTATTGGTGGGCGTCTAGATCAACGTGGCGGTTGATGCTGATCGTGTCGGTATGTCAAACCTTGAGAAATTCCCTCGTCGATTTGATGTTAAACATCGCGATCTTTTACAGTTAGTGACTGATCTCATAAAATGTTGGCCGAGATTCCGAAATGCGTTTTCAATTAGGAAGGATTAATAAGGCGCGGCTGTAATACGGATTATCTTGCAGCATAATCCTGTAATATTTCGAACTCGGTAGGATGTCAACTTTTGGATACATTTTTTTTCAATCTCCTGTAAAAAACGTTTTCGGTAAAAAACGGCTACTTGAATAGCATGCACTTTTTCCATTGATTTTCGATGATTTTGCTAATTCAATTATATTTTTATAGAAAGCGTGAACAGAAATATGCTTTCGTTCAGTTTTTTGATGGAGACTTACGTCATCTTCATATTTTATACTCGAAGTAGGAGGATAATCAGGCTTTATGAAAGTTTCCACTTATGAGATTTTTAAGACAGCGCAATGTCCGTTCATTTAGAATCCTACCTATCCGTTTACCACTGCTCCTCATTAAATGTCCGACATAGTCCGCATCCATTGCGATATTTTCTGAACTCTATACGGTATCTTTTTAAAGATATAGAAGAATAAGTGATTTTATTTACGCGGAACGCATGCACCTTGTAGACTGAAATCACTAAGCACTAATGCAACAACCGATCAGGCTTCAAATTATTCGGCAATTAGAATACTTCTTTAAAACCTAATTATCCTCCTACTTCGAGTATAAAATATAAAGATGACGTAAGTCTCCATCAAACAACTGAAAGAAAGCATATTTCTCTTCACGCTCTCTATAAAAATATATTTTGAAGTAGCAAGGCCATCGAAAATTAATGGGAAAAGTGCATGCTATTTAAGTAGCCGTTTTTTTTACCGAGTAGGGTTTCTGCAGGAGATTGAAAAGCAGTGTACCCAAAAGCTGACATCCTGCCGAGTCCGAAATATTATAGGACTATGCTGCAAGATAATTCGTATTACAACCGCGCCTTAGTAATCCCCAAGGGCCCGATGCTCTGTCGGTTTTCGATCGGGAATACACAATGGTAGGGGGCGCTCACCGATAGTTCATACGGAACTCACTCGTTCCGTTGTGCCTTAAGGGCTCTCTCTCGAGCCCAACCAGCAGCCGCACAGCGGCGCATGATATAAAGACAGAATAATATTACCGACAAAGACAAGAGAGACTGGAATGTCCATTTCTGGTTTATTAGCCGTCGTCAGCCAGCCATACCCAAGCCCGAAGTGTGGAACACCCGAGCCCCATGGGTAGAGGCGTGGACTTCTAAACCAACAGGTCGCGGGTTCGAGGCTCGGGTGTTCCACACTTCGGGCTTGGGTATGGCTGGCTAACGACGACTAATAAGCCAGAAATGGCCATTCCAGTCTCCCTTGTCTTTCTCGGTAATACTATTCTGCATGTATATATATATATGTATATGCGTGCGCGCAAATGTCTATATATCCTGTTTATCATCCCCCGAGGAAGACGAAGAAGAGAGGGCGATTTCATGGACAAGATTCCATTCAAGCTGACGTTTCGGAAACATACTCGTGTCCATCATCAGAGTCGGTCGCTGGCGTTTCCTGCTGGCCTTGATGTGTTCAGCCTTGCCGCCTGCCTCGTATTATAACCGTGCCCAGCGCACGCACATTGGTTAGCCTGCTTTCTGTTGGCTGATTGTGGCCTCTCTGGTCTCAGCCATTGGCGGACTGGCGCGCCTGACGTGGTTGTCGCTGCGTCGGCGTGCTCGTTGGCCTCCCCTCGTCAGACGGCGGGCTGATCGATCGTCGCTCCTCAGGCGTGGTCTTTCTGGTTTCGCGAGTACGTCCGTGAGATAGCGTGCCACGCCGGTCACCTGACTTTCGGTGAGCGCCTTCCCTCTCCGCCAGCGCCGGTAGTCGACCCCGTGTGGCTCTTTTCATCCGTGCCATTGGCCCTGCCTGGACTGACTCGAGCCTCGCGCGAAGTGCCTGGTAGGCGGGATGTAGGTCTATGGTCCGGTTGAGTTTGCCAGTCAAAGACCAACTTTCCAGCATCAGTCTGGTTATTTTGTAATTGGCTCGACCGACCACCCGCGTTCTCTCGAAAGCGAAATTGTGGTTCCGTTCTAGTGTGTGGCCATACACCAACGACAGCTTATCCCTGCGGTTAATTGCAAGCTGATGCTTATGCAATCTTGTGCCGAGGCGTTTCCCCGTTTCTCCAACATACCTTGCTGTAGAGCACCGCTGATTGTTCTGTCACCGGCATATAGCATACCATGCCCGAAACAGCGCTGTATCAATCTACCCCCCCAGACTCTGTCGTCTACCCTCTGCTATCCTAGCTTGGCCGACTTCGGCCTGGTAGGTGGTTGCCTGTTCGTGACCTCTATTGTCCATACGAAGCTTGTTTGCTTCGGAAAGCCAATGGATCGGTGTGCGCCCATTCCTGAGTGAATATATATATATATATATTAGTTTGTACATATAATATTGTCTTCTTCTACAACTGGAACTTCCACTAGTCCCTGATTTTATTTGAACAGATAGCTTCATTTGACCATTTTCAATGAGGAGCTTAGGATCAAAACATGCATTTTCGTTCCAAAACCTGCGTCAACATAATACGTTTTAGGTCCTGTTTCGCTCAACTAAGCTGCTTTCTGAACGACCTCCGGGCACCGTATCAGGCTTTAAAGGCCTGAAGAATATTAAGCTGAATACATCAAAGTATTTTGACAGAAACGGACGCTATGACTGTAACAATAGTTTTGTTTGCCTGAGGTTTCGGACTCTGCCTCAAACCCATCATCAGAAAGAACAACAGGTAAGCGTAAACCACGCAATCAATGTGTGTAATATTGGCAGAATGCTGTTGCCAACAAACTGATCCCCTGTTTGTACATTACCCTTAGCTGTAGCTGTTTCTAAGGACGGATTCGAGTGAGAATCTTTAAAGTCAGATGAATGAAATTCTTGTCTTAACGACCATGTGCGTTCATTTTTAGCAGTTCCCTGTAAAGCATTGACTTTCATCGTCTTTCAAAAGGCTGGGCAATCCTATCTTTAAAACAATGAGTTGCAGGTCGTATTTATCTAAAAAGCCAGTGTATAAAAAGAATGTTAATTGTCACTTTTACGCCCATTTTGGATCGAATCTAAATATTTAAAACAGATAAGATACGCAAGTAACATCAAATGCTGCTTTGTTGATGGCCCATTACCCCCCTCCTGCAACCACCATCATTGGCGCCTATAAAATATACTCTGCTCCAACGTAAAATATTTAAAAATAACTGCAGACCAAAGGTTTCCTGATTATGTGAGTTCGGAAATCTGTAAAAGAATTCAACGCTCAGATTCCCCTGTTTGCAGAAATACTAGTGATTTCCTAACTCAGCGCGTAAAAGTTCGTTCACACTGATGACTGCCAGTTATCATAGGCCAATTCAAGTAAAATGCAGCCGATTTGCTATAATGACAGCCTGCGCGGAGTACGGCATGCTAATCGGTTGGCGGCGCTTTTAAACCATCCTGCCCTTCTCAAAGGCACCTGCACTTAAACGAACGTGGCGTTACTATCAGGGGACTGATAAAAATGCACCTAGCCAACGCAGGACTCGGCGTAGATCATTCAGGCAAATCATTTGCGAGAGTCAGTTGACTGCATGAATTGGCACGTCCAATCAGAGGACGACTTCGAATCAGAAGCTGCGCTTTCACTTCTTCTAAGTGCATGCGACTTGACAGAAGAAACAGTAGTTCCAATGCGCCCAAAACTCTCCCTGACACAGTTCTCCTAATTTATCTTGCGTCTGTTTCCTTCTGACTTAGATCTAGGCAAGACTTTCGCACCTCAAACACTGTCGTCCAGTTGACATGGGTGGCCTGAGGTATTTTAAATGGCATTTCTGGCGGAAAAAGTCCTCAGAAGAACGTCGAGTGACACTTAATCACTCGAAAAGCAACAGTCTGTCTGCAGAGAGTGCAAACCGTCGATTTCCCAAGAATGAGGCCGTCTCTTCACACTACACCTGGTGGAACTTCCTTGTGTTGGATCTATTTGAACAGATGCACAGTGTGGCCAACTTCTTCTTCACAATGATCTCCATCATTTTCTTTTTCAGTGAAACACCCATCTCTCCGGCCACAGTCGTGGCGCCCCTCATTGTAGTGATGAGCGTGCAAATAATCAAGGACGCCGTCGACGACATTGGACGACATCGAAACGATAACAAAATCAATGACACGCGCTTTCCCGTCTGGGTACACAAGACACAGGGATATGAAACCGAATCTTCTTGGGCCAACGTTAAAGCTCGGAATATTCGATGTGGTGACCTTGTCCTCTGCAGGGAGGGTGAGTCCTTCCCCTGTGATACTCTCCTTCTTGCTTCCAGTAACCTGGATGGCAAGGTAGCAGTAACGACCGGCAATCTGGACGGGGAGTCCTCTGTAAAGACCCGCTTCGCTCTGCCAGCCACACAAAAACCCTTTGAAGTGCTTTTGAAGGAATTCAGCAGTCCTGGAACTCTTGGGAGCGTTTTCGGGAACATTAACTTCCCGCCGGTTGCTCATGTTGTATGTCAGGAGCCTACAGATGACTTCGGAACATTTGAGGGAAGACTGGAATATGCCAACGGCTCTGCCGCCGCCGCCGTCGACGTCAACGTCACAGACGGACTGCTGTCGATTCCTCTGACAATCGAAAACATCGGCCTCCGAGGTGCAACCCTGCGAAGCAGCAGCGTCGTCTGTGTCGCTATATACACCGGCAAAGATACAAAGCTCTCCCTGAATGCTAAAAGTGGCCACCTGAAAACCAGTTCCACAAAGCATCGATTCAATTCCATTCTCCTCATCTTTATACTGGCAATGCTCATCTTCACAGTTATTTTTGTCGGCGTTGAGTACGCCTGGCAAAATACAGTTTCAGGTTCTGGTTGGTATCTCGTCCACGGTCAGTTAACGGCCTGGAAAGTAACACAGGGGGCCTTTGACGTGGCCATTCTCATGAATTACCTGATCCCCATATCAATGATAGTCATTATGGAGATTGTGCAGCTATTTCTGGCCCTTTATGCGGCCAATGATATCGCATTTCACGAAAAGGAGTCAGGTGAACGCTGTCAGGTGAACGCCACCAATATCGCCGAAGAGTTAGGCCAGGTGGAATTCCTTTTTAGCGACAAGACTGGCACTCTGACGCAGAACAAAATGGAATTTCGGTGTTTTGCGTTGGCTGGCGGAGAAAGCATATACAGCCTTGAACATAATGGTCTTCATCAAATGCCTGCCGGATCAGAACAGTATTCTGATGGAGAAGCCTCGAAAGACGAGGATCAGTTCATGGATTTTGGCTATGAGTCCTCAGAGGACGACGAATCAGATGTCTACCAGGGAGATGCTGATAACAAGACGAAGCATGAATCTAGACATTGGAGTACCGGTGGGCAGCTAGTGGAGGCATATTCAGAGGAGATGGAACTCTTTTGGAGAGTAGCCACTCTTTGCCATTCCGTGGAAGTGAAGACCTCAAGGGGAACTGAAGAACAAAAGTATGACGATATGTGTTACAGTGTAAGTGCCAGTGTCAAGGTCGGCATGCTCATGACTATCTTACCAGACCGTACTTCTTCTCCCTCGCTTGGTTTGTCTCTTCCAGGCCGCATCACCCGATGAACTGGCTCTGGTACAAGCAGCCGCCAAATGCGGCTTTATTTACATGGGAAAGGAGTCCGCTGGGGATGAGTGGGTCGACCTCGGACGTGAGACAGTCCACGCCCTAAGACTGACAGGGCTCGCGGAGAGACCTGAACACAAGCTACTGCGGTTCTACCTGGGCGGCACGTTGGAATTCGATGCAACCAGGAGGCGGATGTCTGTCTTGGTACAGTCAGTCAGTGATAATCGCTGCTTTATCCTCAGCAAGGGGGCCGAGACTGCGATGTTGAGGCAGCACGTAAGTCGTGAGCCATTGATTGCAATTACAGCATTTTAATGTGTTTAAATGAATTTCTGTCATTCCTAAACTGCGCGGTCCAAGCAAATGAAGTCTAGTTTTCGCAATTTAAAATCTACCGAGTCACCTCTAACTTAATAATCCCATCAGAAATTCGCCAGAGAGGTCCATCCACTCATGCCCAGAAAACAACTGGTATCGGATAATCATCTACTCGTGAAGAAGGGGACACGATCGCTGGGACAAGGGCTTTATTAGCCTGACGTTTCGGATTCCTACTCGAAACCATCATCAGAGACAAAATCAGATGCGGGTGGTTCATGCACAAGGGGCCGCAGTATTTATAGAATGCAGTCGCCATGCCACCGTGGCTCCCCCCTCCCCAGGAATCGTCGCAGTTGGTGTACTAATTGTTGGATGGCCGTCACTCGCGTCGTTAATTGCGATAATTTCAACACGTGTGTTGGATGTTGGTGTGATGATTGCTCAACCATCTGAGACACCGTCCCTGGCGTTGAGTGTCCAACTGTGCGCTCCCCGTGCGGTTAATTACTCCGCCTGGGCGAAGTCATAGCGTCAAGTATGGAAGGGAAAGGCCTCGTCGAATTTGAATGTGTTGCCGGATCTCATCGAATGAGTCGCAACTTGAGAGCTGGAGTCATTTCTGCACACGGCTGCAGCGTGTTCAGTTATTCGCGTTCGGAGCTGTCTTCCAGTTTCGCCGCCGTAGTTACTTTGTCTGAAACTTCACCAGATCCGATAAACGACTCCAGAAGTTTCTTGCCGTGATAGCTGGTCTTTCGGTTTCATTACCTGACGTCTGATGGTCGCTTCCGGTCTGTGCGCAACTCCAACCCAAAGTAGTGTGAGAAGGCGGTCGACAGCTTCCGAAACGTTCGTCGACTCTGTCAAAGGCGACTGACCTGAAAGCTCAACCGTCCGAAGTAACGATGCCAACCACACATTCCAGGGGGTGGGCGTATTGCCGGTGACTTGAATGTGGATTAGTTTTTAGTGGGACGGACTTCTGCTCCATCCACCGCACTCTCTCCCTCTCTTCCCCCGCCCACCCTGCTCCAGTAAAAAGAAAATTTCGGGACGACCTAATGGGGCCTGTCAGAATGGTTGACATAATTAAACATTTCGTCATGGTTCTCACCTCAGCTATCCCAAGGTGTCAAAAAGGCAACTCGGATCTTGTATCAGTCAGAATGCTAGAAAGGACGCATTGAGGTCAAATCCACAGTCCTCATCGAGAAGACTGAGTTATCTCGTCACATGACAATCTTGCAAGCCACGCTTCTTAGCGTGCCGAGATAGAATCGAGCGCATCTGATTTATTTTGACGAGGAGGACGAGGATTAAGTGTGAAAGCGGAATCGTCTACGTAGGCCCTAATCTCTCTTTCTCTCACGTGCCAGTCGAATACCCGAGTCCGTCAGTCAGGAGTGACGCTGACACAAGCCGTCTACACGTGCCACACACGAGCTGGGTCTCGCGGTGTGCATATGTACACTCCAAGACAACACACATGAGTGAGAGCAAATGGTGGGTAGCCTATCATGTTCGTTGGGGCAAATGCCGACAAAGCACGCATTAGTGATCTGCACTGGCGAGTGACACAGCACCTCTTTAGCTCCATTTTCTTCTCTCATCGGTATCGGTATGCCGCGATGAACATAAGCACCAAAAACGGACGTTATAGTCTGCCTTCCTTACTTAAAATCCCTTTCGCAGCGCGTGAACGCCGATCGGTGCAGCATGACACTGTCTGCCTGCGGACAATCTGATAAGGACACCAATCAGAATTCTCATTGGGAACACCCTTACACCGAAAGTGTTTCCATTCAGTATAACGTCTATCCGGAGGTTGATTTGTTGCTTTCAGATGTGCTCCGGGTCTCCGCCCGAAATTCGCGAAGATGTTACCCGCCGAGTCAATGAATTTGCCTCGAGAGGTCTTCGAACCCTGGTCTTTGCTGCCAGAGAGGTTTCCCCGAGTGTCTACCGGACCATGATCGGCGAGCTGAAACGTGCTCAGGGGCTCACAGGTCAGGAGAGAGCACAGGCTCTGGAGAAGGTGAGCGCAAAAATTGAGTCGCGTCTGCAGTTGGTGGGAGTCAGTGGAGTGGAGGACAAACTTCAGCCCGGCGTCAAGCAATGTCTCCGGAGCCTAATTGCTGCTGGAATTCAGGTAAAAATGAATGTATGCTGATAATGACATAAAAGGGGCGAGTATTGGCACTTTATACAATTTTTGAGCAACAGGAGGCGGATGTCGATCGACAGCCGGGACCCCATGTCCGGGTGTCTAACCAGACCTTCTATGCGGTTGGGAATTCAACATCCAGTGCGTGACCGATTTCATGAGATGCTGGCCCAAATTCTGGAATGTGTTTCCTATAAGGAGGGATTACTTAAGTGGGGTTGTTATACTGATTGCCATACAGCATAATCCTATAACAATTCGGAGTCGCCAGGATGTCGGCGTTGGAATTTCCTTCTTTTTGACCTCCTGTAGAAACCACACTCAGTAAAAATTACTACTTATGTAGCATCCATTTTTCCTACTGACTTTTGATAGTCTTGTGAATTCAAATATATTTTACAAAAAACATGCACAAAATATGCTTTCTTTTGCTCATTTGGTAGGAAATCACATCACCCTCCTATTTTATGTTCGAAAATAGTGTGTAGTTAGGTTTTACAAGTGTTTCTAATTATGAGATTTTTAAGACCGTGCGATGTCCATGCATGCAAGAAAGCACATGACCCTTAACTAATGATCCTCATGAAATGTACAATGCAGTCCGGATCCACTGCGAAATTTCATGAACTCTGTATGATATCGTCTTGAAAGCACAGAGGAATATATGATTTTCTTTACGCGGAAAGCATGCAACTTGTAGACTGAAATTGCTTAACGCTGACGCAATGGCACAACAGGCTGAAAATTAGTTGGGAAGTGGGAAACTTCTCTAAAACCTAAAAACACACTTTATTCGAACATAAAATACGAAGACATTGTGATTCCCTACAAAATGAGCAAAAAAATGCATATTTTTCTGCATGTTATCTATAAAATATATTTGAATTTATAAGACTATCGAAAATCAATAGGAAAAATGAATGCTACATAAGTAGTCCATTTTTCCCGAGTGTAGTTTGTGCAGGAGGTTAAAAAGAAGTGCATTCCAAAGCCGACGTCCTGGGGACGCCGAAGTCTTATAGGGCTATGCTTTATGATAATCAGTATAATAACCCCACTTAAGTAATCCTTCCTGATAGGGAACGCATTCCAGAATTTTGGCCAACATTTCATGAAATCGGTCACTTACTGTATCACTGGAGGCAACTGCGTAGTCAGAGAACTGACAATCGTTTGCCGCTGTGCACGTACTTAAAGTAGACTAGTTCCCCTACTACTGATACCAATCAGTCAAGGTCTTGATTACAACCTAGCAAACCTGCATGTTTGTCGTGCACCGGTACGACGATCACTGCATAACCGCCCCCCCCTCAGACTTGTGACATTGGCTGCGACTTGGTTCGTCTAAAGGTGCTGCTTTTGCCGCTGACCGCAAAACACTATACGAGCCTCATTGTTCAATCCGCCTCCCTCAACGTGCAAAGTCAAATTGGAGTTGAATGTTGTACATGGGTAAAGCCAGCAGTCATGCCGACTTACTGTAGAATTCTTGTTGAATTGAGTCACGCATATAAGCCAAAAACAGATTTTCGGTGTATATATATATTTCGAAGAAGAATGAGTTATTTGGGAAAATGCACAAACTTTATTTCGTAAATTTTCGAGTCTGGTTCCCCAGCTCGTCTTCAGACGTGTAGTAAGTGTGAAGAAACAGTCAGTGGTTTTTGGATGCAGCCAGAAAGAAGTTTTTTCGAGGGCCGGCGTCCTGGGGTAATTGAATTATTATAGAATTACGCTGCATGATGATTTGTTTTACATCCCTACTTAATTAATCTTTTCGAAACGAAAACGCATTTCGGAATTTCTGTTGACATTTCATGAGTTAGCCCACTTACTCTATGTCTTCTCTAAAGAACCATGAATTAAAATTTTTTACACAAATGCAGTTCACACTTTACGCTTTGAGAACTGGATTTATAAATTCAGGAAGACACTAGTCTGTGAGTATTTAAAGTAGTATAATTGCTACACATGTTTGGTATGACATGTGAATAGGGGCTGAATACGGGCTGCAACGGCAGATTATCTGCAAATCACGTGTCTGGGCATTAAGCTAATGACTGTGCTGTCATTGTGGTATCCTGTTATCCAAATGTAATCAGTATTTCCCCCTTATAACCACCAGGTTTGGGTACTGACGGGAGACAAGGAAGAGACAGCCATCAAGATCAGTCAGACAGCTGGTCATTTTTCGCGCCACATGAAGCTGCTATGCCTGACCCACCACCAGAACGTGGAGAGTGTGGCGCGGGCCATCTACATGCACTTGAGGCAACTCCGGGAGACGGAGGAATCCAATGCGAACCCCGGTCCCCGGCGGGGCCCCTCCAGCACACTGACATCCGCGCCTTTGGAAGGCCCAGATTCTGTCAGCTTCACACCCGACACTTGCTGCGGTGGTCGTTGGCTGGAAAAGTTGGGACGTTGGTTCCGTCAGGCAAGGATTCTCGGCCACCGTAAAAAACGTCAGCGCTGCAACGGGTTGCGATGCCTCGGATTAGTGATTGATGGACAGACACTGCGCTACGCGACCTCAGTAAGTATCTACTGTCGAGAATTATGTAAACTCTGATATGCATGGGGTTTCCCGCGGGGGGGGGACGGAGCGGAGACGATAATCGTACTTGCTGTTCTGACGCCAGCCAAAAAGTGGTTACCTGTGAGAAGCGAGTATTCCACTCTGTGTTTACTAGGCGCTCACTCCTTACAGTGAGTGACCGATCTCATAAAATGTTGGCTGGAATTCTGAAATGCATTTTCGATTAGGAAGGATTACTTGGTCGCGGTTGTAAGAATGATTATCTTGCGGCATACTCTTATGACATTTCGGACTTGGCAGGATGTCGGCTTTTAAATGCACTTCGTTTCAATCTCCGATGGAAAGCGTACTCGGTAAAAAAATGACTATTTATATAGCATGCATTTTTCTCACAGATTGTCGATGGTCTTGCGAATTCAAATATATTTTTATAGAAACCATAAACACAACTAAGTTTTCTTTTAGTCATTCAGTAGAGAATCACATCTTCTTTAATTTTATACTTAAGGAGGGAGTATAATTAGGTTTTAAAAAGTTTCTAATTAAGAGACTTTTTAAGACCGCGAAATGTCCATTCACATAGCATCGTACCTGGCCGTTTGTCACAGCTCCTCATGAGATGTACAACATGTCCGCATCCATTGCAACATTTTATGGACTCTGTATGATATCTCTTTAATGGCATGGAAAAGTATGTGATTTTCTTTACGCGGAACGCATGCACCTTGTAGACTGAAATCACTAAGCGCTAATGCAGCGAATGATCAGGCTCCAAATTATTCGGCAATGAAAAAAACTTTTTTAAACCCTAATTATACTCCTTTCTTAAGTATAAAATATGAAGAAGACGTGATCCTCTATTGATTGACAATGAGGAAGTATATTTTTGTTTATGGTTCCTATAAAATATATTTAAATTTGCAAGACCATCGAAAATCAATGGGAAAAATGTATGTTACATAAATAGTCGTTTTTTTACCAAGTACGCTTTCCATCGGAGATTGAAAAGAAGTGCATTTAAAAGCCAACATCCTGCCGAGTCCAAAATGTTATAAGAGTATGCCGCAAGATAATCAGTATTACAACCGCGACCAAGTAATCCTTCCTAATCTAAAACGCATTTCAGAATTTCAGCCAACATTTCATGAGATCGGCCACTCACTGTAAATGCTGTCCCTGGAGTCCTTGTGTAGAGTGGTGCCATGTTCTGGCAACCACAGTCAGTGACCGATCTCATGAAGTGCTAACAGAAATTCTAGAATTTGGTTTTGACTAGAGAAGATGACTTAGGTGTGGTTCTAATACTGATTACCATGATACCACAGACAGGCTAGGACGTTGGATTTTCAATGCATTCCTTTTCGGCCGCCTGCAGAAGCCGCACTCAGTAAAAATGACTGCTTATTTGCGATGCAGTCATTCTACTTATTTTCGAATTCCTCATAAATTCACATACATTTTATAGAAAGGATGGACAAAATATTGTTTTTTGTGTTCAGCTGGTGGCAAATCACGAATTCTTCGAATTTTATACCCGAAGGAAGGTTATCTTTCGGTTTTAAAAGGCTTGCAAATATGAAATGTTCTAGGCTTTGAAATTTCCTTGCACATTACAGTGTATCTGTGCGTGAATAGTAGGTGTAATGACGTATGCAGCATATATCACAGCCACCTCAAAATATTATGAGCCGTATGTGGTATATTGTTAATGGCATAGAGAAATATGCGAGTTTCCCACAAGGAAGTATGCTGCTTGTCGACAGAAAACCCTTTAAGGTAAATGGAACGATGGGCAGACATCAAACTATTTTGAGAACTGAAAGATTTTTTTTACATTTTAATATATCTCTTTTTCTGAAGTACAATTTGAAGAAAACGCGGTCTTCCGTCAAATGAATGCGAGAAAAAGTATTTTCGTGCATCTTTTCTTGTAACATCAAATTTTGGCTGAAATTCTGACATTTGTTTCCGAATAAGAAGACTTGCTTGAATGGGGCTGTGAGACTGACTGCTTGCGATGCATTCCAGAAATATTTTATCGAAGTCAAGCTGATGGATCTCGAGTTCATTTCTTTTGGGTAACCTCCAAATCATGCAGTCAGTAAAAATTGACCGCTTAAGTTGTATTTTGCTTCTCTCACAATTTACTATGCCCTTGTAAATTCAAATATATTTTATAGGAAATCGCCGTAATGATCTCATTTTTATACTCATTTGATGCTAGATTATGTTTGTTCTAAATGCCATACTGAGTTGCACAAACCCCTCAAAAGAACAGGAGAAGAGGAATCGCCTGCAATAGTGGCTGGGATTAGCAATTTCTAGTGGAAGTATGTTTCGACGGGATGAATGAGTTTCGTAACATGATCATTGAGCGCCCCAATTATTATTAAGCGATGATATAGGTCTGACGCGAAAAATGTACACCCCGGACATTTCATGTACTTAATAATTTCTGAAATTAACTGCTTAAAATTTAAATACGCATACTTCTTTTTACCATGAGATACAGACATGTTTTTCCTAGCCAGGCTGCGTGTTCCAGGGCGATTGCGAGTGAGGATCGGAGGGTTTGGCATACAGCCCAGAGAAAGGGCAGGAACTAACATCATCATCATCATCATCATCATCATCATCATCAGACGTAATTGGCGAAAGTTGTGCTTTCATGCTAGACGAAACCCCTTACCATTTTAGAGTTCTGCGTGCTGCAAACCGACTAAACCCGCGGACCGTTGCCTATGCTACTAGACCGACCCTAAACAATGCGGCTATCAGCCAAACGACTTGTGTTACAAGTATTTTTGGTTACACACACACGACAGGTGATGATGATGACAACGCCTGGTAAAATGTGAGTGGGAATTTCCAGCGGCTTCCACGCCCTAAAAGTGACAGTTGGTTGAGTGTGTGTGTGTGTGTGTTTGGATGGCATTTGTCGCATAAAAAATAAGCACACATGGAAGTTTGGGCGTGGTACGCTGATGCTGCCTATCTTACAGCTACTGCGCCCCGTCATCATCGTAATTTGGTAAGAGTTTAGTCGTCGGATAGAACTTTCATTTGGTTATACATGTCGCGAGAGAAATGGCGACTTTGAGTCAGCATGGTGGTGGCACAGGCCAATTCGACCCGAAGGACTAAATACGAATTCATGTTTCATCTAGGAACTCCTGTTTCAGTCTTCACACGCGGTCATATGAATACTAGTAATCAATACTCCAGAGGTATTACTATCGATGAAACGTCAAAGAAAATAGCCATGTATGGCCTGCATGCCGTCGTCGGGAAGAAACGTCTTAACCGAAAACAGTACGAGGCTGAGATTAAGGCGCATATTCGGTCGAACATTTGGTTGAATGCCCTGCTGGTTGATTTGCAGACCGACAATTCGTTGACTGCGAACAGGTATTATGACCCGGAGAGTGGATTAGAGAACCTGATGGCAAGTTCGAGCAACAAGATCTTTATTGTGTGAACCTGTGTAGCACAAGCTTGAACGCGCTGAATATTACCTCACTGCCCTCCTAAGGGTTCTAGAACACTGTGGACTTCGGCCTGACGGTCGCGGATTGAATGATTCTTGCTCGAGAATCACTACAAGCTGGCCCTATCTGGGACACTAATCTCAGGTCGTCGCAGTAGATCAAAAGCACGTAAAATTTATTGTGATTACGACGACATGTGCAGAGGGCTTCGTCCTGCTCTCTCTCTCTCTCTCTCATCAAGATCAAATGGCATATCCGTGTCCCACTGGACGTGTTACATTTGCGTTACACACTTCAGCCCCCACCGTTTTGGTCCGACACACCGACGCGGCCTGTTTTGAAAGTCTACAATTTGCCCATATTGGAATAGATGACGAGGAGATAAAAACACACTTTATATTAACGGAAGTCACTACGTACTACTATGCAGTGTAACAAGCTACTTAAATGAGACTGCAGAACAAATTAACATTGCCAACCAGTCCAGATTTACGTTGCAAATGATAAAATGTCGGCACTTCACTTAGCCTACCTAGATTCGAATGCGTTGGGGGAGAGTAATGCTTATAGAACAGCAAGAAGTGCTGATAAACAGAACAAAAAATTGAGTGAAGCTTCACCATATTAATTAACTGGGAAAGGTTGTCAATTGGCGGCTTGACTCAGACCTTGCGGCCAATGCGGCGTGTCTTTGGGTGGAGTAGCCGATTGGTGGAACGCGAGGCAGGCTCCATAGGCCGTCCGTTATGTAGTCTACGTGGCACTCCTCCCACATGACATTGGAATCGCTGCCTTGCCTTCGGCAAAAACCCGGTACGACGCGTGCCATCAGGTCGCGTTTGGCACGTGTAGACGGACCGTTTGACTTTGTCGGTCCAAGCCCGCCTCCATCACCGTTTACAATGGCCGAAATGAAGAATGACATCTCCAAGCTTAAAGGTTGACAGTATTCTGTTAGGCTTATTTGCGAATTTTTGCGTTTCGGCGGTCGCTCTTGACACAGTGTTAAGTTAACCCACCAATCGTCGGGTGAATTCATTTTTGCCATTCATTGCCGTTTCTTTTACAAATACCCGACCGAAAATTGCACTATTATAAGGGTATTTGTAAAATAATAATTCTGAAAGATAATGTTGTCTGAAAGGTGTTCCACACCGCAGGGTTGGGTATGACTTTCAATCATACCTCATTTGAGCGGTGAACAGAAGTATTATCCTGTAACGTTACGGTGTCTATCCGACGTCAATGAATGTTGGTGAAACCGAAGGCATCCTTTACGATGTCGATGAACACCTTGATGTTTATCACCTCTGCTGTTGAACGCGAGACCAGTCGCTCTCCGAAGCTGATGGCCATTCGAACCATCAGGCGTCGACAATTCTTGACAATTGGTGTCGACAGAGTGTGTTCTCGTGGGACGTTCTTCCGATATATGACTACCTAGGCGGACGCCGGAGGCTTGCTTAGGAATAAGACCTCGTCACAAGAGTAAATGCTTTTCCAAAACAAATGTCTATGATCACTATATTTTAAAGCAAATAAAAAACTTCTCTTATAAGTTTTCAACTTAAGAATGGCTTTGTCATAGCGTCTGGCTGATGGAGGCCAAATTCTTTCATTCTTTTTCTAATTATGCGCAAAGAAAACATTGACAAGTGTTCCTTGTAAATAGCTTTAAGGGGCTTATAATGATACTTTTTCAGTGTCCTACTAATGAAATCGTAATCTTGCTTGCATGTGATAGGTTTGGTCCACCTTGCTTGGCTCTAGGCACCGTTTTATTATTAATAACTTTCCAGAGAATGACGTCGTTAATATCGAAAAAACTAGCCTACGGCTCAACCGGCAGCCCTTCGGCTGCCAGTTTTCTATTCATTTAAAGTCAACTACCGATAGAAAATGTTTCGACATTTTTGTTGCACGGCGTGGCGCTGAAAAGTGGCAGCATGTAGCGCGCAATCTATGCATACGCATTTGCGCCTATTAGCTCCCGGTGTAGTGAAATAAATGCAGTCGAACAAGCTTATTACTGCGTTTAACGGGATAAAACGTTGCAATTTTGCTAAGCATAATTTGTAAAGAACAAATTATCTTTTGTTTTATGAACAGAATGCGTGTTTACATATTTACCTTGACCTGATTTACATGTACTTCAAATCACACTTTTCATTTCCAGGGCGGATTTCCTTAATACTTTTCTTCACTATATAAAGGTTCCTCTATATCGCAACGCAAATAAATAAGAGATAAGAGTTTTTAGTCAGATATGGTTAAGAAGCCGTAAATTGAATTAAACAACCCGAGGTCACCTGTAATACGGGACAGGTGGTAATAGGGGTTTTTACAGGTAGTGCCGGTGAACACACAGGCGACGAGGCCAAGTAATTGTATGCAAAATAAAAGCCATTTAGAATGCGCGGTTGTACTTTGAGTGGTTGAGAAATAGTTGCTCTAGCCCCTAAAAATAACACTAACCTCTAATTCTGACCCCAAACTTTAACCCCTATCCCTAACAGTATTGTGTTCATCATGTAGGGCTACATAACCACATGACCGGGATTGTAATAGGTGCTACTTGCTAGAATAGGAAAGTACTTGGATATCTGGAAACGTCGAAATATGCCTAATCCTGGCCTGTTTCCCTTTGATGAAACAGACCTAACATAAACTCTTCTTTAAAAAAGGGCTTTTGGGAAGTTTTACCACGACGTTAACCACTTCGTTGAGTCTCATCAGCAGTCAGCTGACTGCCTTGGACAGGAGAGGGGGGAGAGAGAGTGAATGTGGTACTAAGAAGGAATTCGCCTTCTAGGTGTAGCAGTCCATTTCTCACTATTGTCGATATGAAGCTTTGGCAGCGGGGCAGGATGCCGGCAGCCGGGATTACTCTGTCCTAATTAAAATTGAAGGCCAGGTTGCGAGGGCTCCTTTAGAGTGTTCCCCCTCGTAGCGCCTGTCGTTAATGCTGGATCTATGAACTGTAAGTAACCTGATGTACGCCAAATTATGAGTTAATTAGTGTCTGGAACTCGCAGAGGAACTTATAACTCCGTCAACTGCTGCGTCAGCACCCTGGCCTGGACTAAGTCTCATCGTCGAAAGACGCATGAGGGAGCAAGGTTCAGGCTGCAGATGTCTGATCCACCATAAAATAGTTCCCGCTTAATCCACCGATGGTTTCACCGCACAGAGCAGTAGGTAGCTTGGTAGCAGGTAACTTTCGAACTACCGTAAGGGCTTGGGTTTATGTGCTTCTTGATGGAGACGGCATCGAGGTCCGTTTTTTTTGAAGAGAAGTATAATGAACCATAACAACACTGTTCTAGTCTGTTAATGCCCCATGACAGACTTTAGGTTTCATAGTTAAAGAACTGTTTCCTCGCATGCATTAGTTATCACGGTTTTACTACAGTGTTTTTGAAATAATGATACGGCCTTTGAGGGGCGTTGACTGCAGTCAATTCTTGTCATGCTGATATGGTGTCGAAACGCATGGAATTCGTCGGGTTTATCGCAACTGGGTCCGATAAACTCCTGCTTCTGCTTGAAGGCAATCCCGCAGGTAAGATGTGTCCGAATTCCAGCAAGGGGTTATTCCACAGCTATTTATATAAAACAGGCCGACATAAATTCACTTTATCACCGACTGCGTACACTGTGCTGCCTTCTGCTTTCACTAAATACACCAGTGTTATCGGTCGAAGGAGCCCATAGACGATCTTCCCCACGTGTTCGAACAGCTGATCGGCATGTCCTGGTATTTCGCGTAATAGTGTGCCAGATAAAAAGGCTATGGGGCAGTCAGCGATGCGTTTTCCCCCGAAGCATGACTTTTGGCTGCTGTATGACTTTCCTTCTTACGAGGACTTTTGTAATAAAACTGTACTTAGTCATTAAGATTAATGATGATTCATTTGGTACTCAGCTGAAAACAATCCAACTGATTATATGAGGCGAAACTATCTTAGAAGCTTAGACAAGCTGTTTTAAAACACCGAGCCTGTATTGACTATCAAGGTATAATCAGCAAGTCTTCACATAAGCGGGACTTATTTTTCGACATCTTCCTCTCTACTTTAACGAGATTCAGTAGGCATACTTTTGACAAAAACCGCGCACCCCAGTTAATCAACCAACGCGTAAGAATCTGCTGTTTTTACTAAGGATGTACTGCGTCGGGATTTCCTGCGACTCTGTCTGGAAACGTCGACCGTTCTTTGTTGTCGCCTAACGCCCTACCAGAAGGCAGCTGTAGTCAAACTGGTCGCCGAAGGCATGAAGGACGTGACTGGACAAAAGGCCCCAGTCACGGCTGCCGTCGGCGATGGAGGCAATGATGTTGCCATGCTGTTGCAGGCCAACGTTGGAATCGGCATTTTTGGCAATGAGGGCAGACAGGCTGTTCGTGCCGCAGACTACGCTGTTCCACTGTTCAAGTGAGTTTGAAGTAGTAAAGGTGTAATTCACTTTTCGACAACATAAAATTTCTACTGATGTTTTCTGAAGTTCCCCAGTGTATGGATGTTGAAATTGAAGTGGTTTCCACAAGGATACACGGTGACTTGTGCGTTGATTAGTTCATAGTGGTTGAAGACTTGCGCGGCATCTGCCGCACTCTCCTCTCTCCCTCCCCAACCTGGATAGAGTGAGGAAGTCAGAGGGCAGAGGCGGACGTAGGCGACTGGCACAACGTGGACCCGCACCTAGGTGTGCTGTCACACCCTCTGGTGCACGCATAACGGATCGGGAGTTCACACAATCTGAAAATGGGGGAAGGGCGACTCGGATCCCAAGTGAGTGTGTGAGAATGTGTGCCGATACTATCGTCGAGTCAAACCCCATGTTGGAAGAAGAGGACAGAAGGCACCCGAATGAGAGGTTTATTGTACACAGAACCCACAGTTGTCCTCTCAGACGGCAGTGGCCGCTGGCGAAGCCAGGGCTGGTGTCGACTGCGTTCAAGCATACCTGAGCGTCCCTGAGACAGTGGTGGCAGCCGCTTTTGTAGGTTCGTGGGCCAAGCTCAAGTGGTGGCCAGTCAGCGTGCGTGTTGCATTTGCCGAGGGGAGCTGTCCCAGTGACTTAGGCTGTGGTTGCAGGGGAGTGGGTTGCGTCCAAGTGGCCGCATGGGCAGATGCGGCTGTGCGGACGCAGGTATGCTCGAGCTATCGGTCGTGTGACTTCAGGTCAGCGCGTCTGGAACTGCTCACTGCAAAGGCGTGAATGACCTTGAGACAGCGAGTTCTTGAACAATGACGCCAGACCCGCTACAAGTGTGAGGGCTATTAAGATCACATTAAGAAGAGGCCACTTCAGCCAAAATCTCAGTCCAGATAGGAGGACTAGCAGCCAAGTGAGTGTGTGAGAATGTGTGCAGTCTGTGCGATACAATCGTCGAGTCAAACCCCATGTTGGAAGGAGAGGACAGAAGGCACCCGAATGAGGGGTTTATTGTACGCAGAACCCACAGTTGTCCTCTCAGACGGCAGTGACTGGTGTTGATTGCGTCCAGTCATGCCTGAGAGTCTCTGAGATAGTGGTGGCAGCCGCTTTAGTAGACTCGTGGGCCAAACTCTAGTGGTGGCCAGTCAGTGTATGTTGCGTTTACCGAGGGATGGTGTCCCAGTGGCTTGGGTTGTGGTTGCAGGGGGGAGGTGCGTTCAAGTGGCCGCATGGGCAGAGTCAAAATCTCCGTTCACATACGCGGACTAACAGCCAGCACACCACGACTGGGGAATCAAATTAAGCTTGCGCCCCTTGACTTTGAAACTTCGTTACACATTGTTAAAGAAGATGTTGGAATTTCCTGGGGGTTTATGCGTGAAACTGTCAGCGAGCTAAATTTTAAAGTTCAACTTAAACGACTTCATAAACATAGGGAGGTTAATCAATCGACTTTTGCGGAATAACCACAATAGTTTTCTTTCTGTCAAACACATTATTAAAGAGAATTTGGCGAGTATACGCGTGCTTTCGATAAATTCTCATCGCGTCTGCACATTTACATGGTAACGAGGTACAAACTGCAAGGTGTGAGCGAGAAGAACAATCGATTAAGGTTCGCCTTTTCATGCAAACGGGGTATGTGAATTGAGGCGAGGAAAGAGAGGGGAGAGGAGGCGGTAAGTGACAGTGAGGGTTAGGTAGAGCCGTGTCACAGGGGGGGAGAGAGGGGACGGGCTCGCGGAAACAGGCATGCAGTTAATCGATCCTTGCCCACGGCAGACGCAGAGCGTGCAAAAGGTACTTTTGCGCGCACAGGACCGCCCCCTGTAGCCTGACGGCAGCCGATTCTTCCGTTTCTGGTAAACGCCGACCCAGACGCTTAGGATAGTTAGGCGGGACCTTGCAAATCACACGGAAGGCTTCGTTGGGATCCACACGATGTCCAGTATCAACCACGTGTACGAGGATGGAGCTGTGTGTGCTACAACCTTCACCTTTCCTCAGCCACGCCGACTCGTACGACCAGTGTGGCCCGCTCCACGGGGGCAAGTAAAGGAGTAAATGCACAAGGGTGTGGTCTGAGCTGGTAGCCTAGCCTTACCTTCCCCTCGTAATAGGGGATTAATCGAAAACAGTACTTGAACTCTTTCTGCCGGGAAAGTCCGTGAAAAGGCTTGGTCAAGGCGCCTTCTTAGGAGTTCGCTTGCCGCGTCTCCTTGAAAGAGGACTTTGGGGAACAGGGTTATCTTTTCTACCGCCTGCCATCAGGCTTTAGAAGCCGGTCCAGTGCGCGCAGAAGAACCTCATGCACGCTCCGCGTCTGCCGTGGGCCGGGATCGATTAACTGTAAGCATGTCCCTGCTCCCCTTCCCCCCTTGTGATACAGCTCAACTTAACCCTCACTGTCACTTACTGCCACCTCTCCCCCTTCTCTCCTCTATTCGCATATCCCCTTTGTATGTAAAGATGAACCGTAATCGCTTGCTCTTATCACTCACACGTTTCAGTTTGTACCTCGTTCCCATATACAGACCCGTAGAGGATTTATCGAAAACACGCGTATGCTCGTCAAATGCTCTTCCGAATTGCTCCAAGGGAATTTTCGCAACAATAGTAAAGTTAAAGCAGTGAAAGTTACCTCATCTCGCATGCGAACGACACAGCCACTGAAAAAAAAACATAGGTAACGGAATAACAAGAAAGCTACGGCGTACACTGGAGTGTTGTTGAACAGTCACATATCTTGAAGTTACACACCGGAGATATGTGAAATGACCGTAGTATATGTCGGGTATTTGCTGGATACCTCTGATGTAGTAGTCTGATGCGAGTTTCCGATCTGAGGGTAGTCTTCATATTATTAGAATTAATAATCCAGGTGATTTAGTAAAAGGTTTTTACGGGAAACTATCTTAGACCGTTCTTAAACATCGTCGCCTCTTAGAAGTGAGTAAATTTGTACCACCATAGTCATTACAGATGTCCTTGCACGACTGAGAAGCTTCCCTCCTTTCGGCTCATTTATAAAAAATCTGAAATGGGACCGAATAGTCAGTAATTCCAGTTCTACTGTCCGCATTAATTTCCCTATTTTAATTAACCCACTGCAATTAAAAGATGTTCTATTTATTCGCAAGATTAATTAACATCCATCTATGAGAGAAATAAAGACAGTCTGGAACTGGCAAAGGAACCAGAATTTGTTGTTTTGATTGACGATATAGCGTAAAAATATACGGTCTGTAGGTGACATTCATTTATAGAGATGTGGGCGTGTGAGAAAATACGACTACAACGTGGGCGGCCTTGTTTTTCCTTGACGCCATCGCAGATTTATTTGGATTTTGAAAATCTCCAAGAAGCTGTGATGCAGCGTCGTTCAAATAAACGCTTTTTTTACAAATCAGCCGAAGGCACTTTCATTGGATGAAAAGTGCGGTTTCTCCACCTCCGTCTTTCCGTACGCATGCACTGCATCAACGAGTAGGTCTTCGCTGTTCTTTAGCAAATCCTATTAAAAATAGCATCTTCGCATCATGAAGACATCGGGTTTAGGCTTTTCCAATTTTTTTTTCAATGCGCCTCACTAAATCACCCAGGTGTCAAAAATAGCGGAAGCTGGATACGGCAATCCAATGAGAGAGAATCTTAAATTTGAGAAAACATATGCTACTGAGCAAATTATAGTAGCTCTTCTACGTTAACTAAATGAGCGCTGAAAAGATTGTTTTAGGAGTGCGCAAATTAACAGGGGAAAGATATGTGACAGTGGAAATAAACTTCAGGACTAGGGCATAGCTGCCTAATAGCAACCCATAAGTAAGAAATCACCTAGTGAGTTACTTGTATTACATAGGGAAAGTCGTTCTTTATGACCTGCATTAAAAAGTTTTAGCATGTCTTATTTACCGTGGCATTTCACACGCAATTCCACAAGGAAAGAAGCACAGTAAATTCCGAGCTGTCGCTTACTGGCAGTAAGAAATCGCGTGGTTAACTGACAAAATCTAGACGTTTGACACAACGTATTCTCTTGAAGCAGGCAATACTGCGTCTGTTTTGCCCTGCCCGGCTGTCTGTGTTACCATGTAACACTCGTGGAGAACTCGCAGGCTACTTGACAACTGCATAGTCGCCTGACTGTATATAATGCGACCGATCCAAATTCAACATAAAGTGACGTATTTTGGCAAATTTGTCTCTTTTAGTACTGCCGGTTTAGGCTGTACGCGTAGCTATAAATGCAGTTTCATGACTTTATTCCAGGGTTTCTGAAGAATGATATGCTTGAACGTAGTCAGCGTTATGAAGAATTAACATCTATTGGCAACATGCCCATTAAAGACTTACTAGTAACGTAAGACTTCAGTTATTTGAACCGTTTTAAAATACCTCGCAGTGGCAGTGGTAGGCTGAATGGCCACAAATAGCTGTCGGTAGACTGTGCGCCGTGTCATAGGGGATTGGTTTTAATGCCTTCCAGAGTCTTCTGCCTGTCGGAATTATTCCACCCTGTGATTGATTAAGTGAACGGAGCACTCTCCCTTGGACAGATCCTCCACGGATCCACAAATTATGAAGTAACCGCCTGCCTAGAGAGGTGACCGCCATGCGCCTCTTTCACCAAGTGCCAACAGGCCTTTAAGGCACCTGCAGCCAAAAGAGGACTCTTTGACACACGACTGTTCGACCCCAATAGGGCTCGCACAGGTCTATACTCAGTAGCATATCGTTCAGCAGTCATCCCCCTAACACCAATGATGAAAAAGAACGCGTCCCAGTCAGCGTTGTCGTCTGTCTCGCCCAGGGAGATGTCCAAAGGCTCCTGATAGGACTTGCACGCGCCCACCCTCACTAATACGTCATCAGCGCACTGTCCGGCTTGCTGCCCCATCCCCAAAATCCCCATCACACCAATCCCATATGACACGATGCACAGACTACCCATAGCTAATTGAGATTCTTCGGCAAAGTTGGTACTTTCATCGATAAGATGTGGTTATGTAGCCTCACCTGATGAACACAATATTGTTGGGTTTAGGGCGGTTGGTTAGGGGTTAGGGTTAAAGTTAGGGTTTTTAGGGCAAGTATTTCTCAATCACTCAAAGCACAACCGCTCATTCTCAATAGCCTTTCGGCAACAGTATAGAGAAGGACCCCACTTACCTGTTAGTAGACTGCCGATCGTGCCATACGTGATCTGTGGTAAAGGGAGTTTTATGGATGGGGCAGAACGCTAGACAGTAAGCTGACAAAATGAAAGAAAACACAGAAATTGCCTGGATTCATGTCAAGTGTCTTATCCTACGCTCTATGCCGACAGCGGAAACGAGTGGTATTTAAACAATAAGCAAAAGTAAATTTCACGAAATAACGGATTTTAAGTTTAAGTGTGATGTCTTGGGAAGTAATTGTTGTTGGCAGTGTAATTTCTGCGACAGCCAGCAAATTTATGTCAAGGTAAAGCCCCATATGACACGATCCACAGTCTACTGACAGTTAAGTGGGGTCGTTCTCTATACCTTTGCCGGTTTTTCAACCTACCTTTTTCCCTCGCAGACTTCCCACATTGTAGTGCAATTTAAAAACTGTTTTTTACTCTACAGACACCTGCGTAGGCTGCTTCTGGTCCACGGACATTGGAATTACTACCGGATGAGCCTCATGGCTCTCCTTTTCTACCACAAGTGCATCGCTCTGGTTGCAGCCCAGATCTACCAACTTTTCTTTAGTGGATTCTCCGCTCAGCCTCTCTATGACAGTCTCCTCTACGCTCTCTACAACCTCACCATGACCTCCTGCAGCATTTGTGCGTTTGGACTCTTTGAAAGACATCTCAACGAGACCGACCTCATGCGTCATCCCTTCCTCTACAGCCTGGTAAGTTGCAGGTTCTGCTGAAAAGATTTTGTTTTTCAAAGGCTAAGATGTTTGCGACTTGCAAATAAGCGCTCTCCACTGAGAAGTCTGACTAACAGTCTAATAGCATTAAAGCCCTTGCGGATTAGATGTGGTTATGTAGCCCCACCTGAATTAAACAGATCACAGCCACCTCTAATACGGGACAGGTGGTACTAGTAGTCTTTACAGGCGGGGTCGGGGAACGCACAGGTGACGATGTCGAGTAGTGGTATACAAAGGAAAAGCTCTTTCGAATGCGCAGTTGTAATTTGGGTGGTTGAGAAATAGATGCCCTTATCACCTGACTCAAGTCCCTAACTTTAACACTTTTACAAGGTTTCTAAAGAAAATTCGACGTGTTTGCTTTTCTGCGACCTTAAATACCTCCTTACACCTCGCCCTAACTTCCGGCACCTATCTAAACACGTTACTCACCCCCCAAACGGACGTCTGTTCCGCAAAGGCGTAGTTTATTCTTCAAAGCCGAATAGGCCTGTAAACATGCCGAGAACTGTGGCTATCTAGTGTGGTTACACCACTCTAAACTATTCGTTTCGTCTGAAGATGGGTTGGTGTAACCAATTTGAAAATTCGCAAGTATATACCGATTTTTCGACGGGCCTTTTTAGATATGCATATGCCTTTCTAAAATATTGCTTACATCTCATCAGCAAAAACAACTGCGCAATGTCAAATGACCGAAATACTCTTGTACATTATGTCATCCACATTACATGGGACACACTCTCCTACGAGGGTAGTATGGAAAATAAATGTATTACGCATCTAGTCTCAGAAATATGATTGTATTCGCACAATCACTTTTAAAACCCAAAAGAAGTGCAGAAGACTTTGGCAGCCATTTCCGAGTCAACCTTATATGAGTGGCTGAAAGGGGGTTCAATCAAAGACCAACATTCCTCTTTGTCGATGCAGGCAGATGAGGGCTGGACCGCTGAAGCCGCTATCTTCTCATTCTAATGGATTGATGACTCTGGGATTAAGTTTCCTGTTAATGAATACTGCCCCCTCAACTGGGCTGACTTCTTATTTTAATCTTGTGGTTCATGTTTTATGGCGCTTGGCGCGTTTTGTTGCAAATCTAGCAATGGGTGGGGTGTTGGCATATGTTTCTGCATTGCCAAATGTGCCCCGCTTGATGCCAAACATTTTTTTGCCCTACAGACATTTTATTCTTAGAATGAGGGGGCGGTAGATGATAATTCTGTATTTTTAACCCATGATATCCTCAGAGGTGGTCGTGAAACTTTATTTGCCCTCTTTCAGATGCCTTTAGGCAATAGCCATTTAGCTGCTAGAGGTGGCATGATATCTTTCCAGTGTAGCCCTTGCCGCATCAAATGCAGGCCAGTTTATGGATTAGGTTGCAGAAGGTGTCCAACTTAGGTGCGCCAACTGGGTGGTTGTTTTTGACTCTCCTCCTCCGTACATGAAGTGAAATTGACTTCAAAGTAAACTCTCTTCGTAAATTTGGAACCTGCAGCGTTGCGCAATAGACACTACGACTCAACAGGCGGCTGGACGTTGAATTCCAGAAGGGGGAAACTATGCTAGTTTGATAACTTTAGAGGCTAGTTTAGTCCCAAAATTAACCTCAACTCTGAACCTCCTATCCTTACCACAAAGCATAACCATAACACCCTGGAATTTGAAGATAGACTACCTGTAATTGTGGGAGACATATTCTCCCGTACAATCGAGGTAATGAAAAAAAGGAAGGCCAACGATTTACTTAATTTACGTGGAGGCAGTCTATATGCGGCGGAAGAAATCGGACCTATGTAAACAGTTAGACCACGTGGTCAACCTCAGTTTGCCCTGGTGGATCTGAGCTCTTTGATTTACGAAATCCCCCGGCGTGCTAACTTTCCCATTTTCTTTCCTATGTTGCGTTTTCAAGTTACTCTTTTATTGATTAGTCTACGTGCAGTATACGATGAGCTTGCTGTTTTACATTGATTTTCTCCGTGAAGGTTCAAACCTCTGTATCTTTCTTACTTGTTATCTGTGTTATGCAACGACAGACTGTAGTTGATAAGCCGTCGCGAAATTTACTGGTTCCAGTAAATTCTGCTGTCTATGCCTGCTTTTAATTCATTAAGGGGAAATATTGCTTCGAGTTTCAAGGTAATAGTTATCAAAAGATTCAGAGGCGATATTTCCACCTTCCCAACTGAGGCATTGTTTCCTCCTCGGATGCAACAACATAATGCCGGTTCTGTCCAAATCCGTGGGTATCTGTGTCTTGATCTGGCCCAGTAGAGTGGATAAATCGGTATTTTTATGATAGCAACTGAGAACGCCTTCAGTTGGAATAGGAAAAAAAAGAATTGACAGCGTATCGGGTCACTACAGTCAGTGACCGATTTCTTGAAATGTTAATAGAAATTCTCGTAGGTGTCCGATACGTTCTCCTGAGTTCGGTCACGCATTGTAACTGCAATTTATTGACAATGGATTAACCAAAATGAGGTTCGCTTCGAAAGCATCACATTCCTGTTAATCCTACTGCCTTATCCCCACAGATGAGTCGAAATGCCAACTACAGGCCCTGGTACGTTCTGCTTTGGTGCCTGGACGGTTGGTGGCTGGGCAGTGTCTGCTACTTTGTCGGCTATTTCGTCCTCGTCGGTGGGGCTGCCTACGCTGAGGCCACATTTCTGCTGGCTGGGACCTCCTATGCCGGTGTCGACATTGACCTCTTCGGCACGGCGATATTCCTCCTTCTCACCATTGCTGTCAACTTCCGACTCTTTGTCATCACTCGAACCTTCACGCTGGCTCTGATAATTGGAAACCTCGCATTCGGGATCGGCAACTTTGTAGTCACCTTTGTCTATCAGGTAAAGTCCCCTTTTAGTCATTCTGGCACACTTATTAAGACATAAAGGGGGAGATAGGAAATCAGGACAATCCGTTTTGTGAATAAGTAGGTACTACCCCGCTACCTCCTGCCAAGCGAGGGACATTTTTTGAGTCTACAGTTGGTAAGCTAACTCATGAAATCGCAACAGAAATTCCGAAATGCGTTTCCGTTTCGAAAAGATTAATTAAGTAGGGTTGCAAAACCAATCACTTTTAGCATAATTTCATAATTATTCAATTAGCCCAGGACGCCGGCTTTCGAACAAACGTCTTTTCGGCTGCATCCAAAAACCATACTCCGTAAAAGAATGACCATTTAAGTAGCGGGCATTTTGTCATTGGTTTTCGATGCCCCTAAAAATTCAATTTTATTTCATGGAAACCAAGCACCAAATATTCATTCTTCTGATCGTGTGATAGCAAATTACTTCTTATTTTTCCAATTTTATGCTCAAAGGAAGCCAATAATTCGGTTTTAAAAGGTAACAATATGGATCAAATCCACTGCTTAATTTTATGAACCCTATATGGTCCTCCTTTATTGCCGCAGGGAAATGTGTGGTTTTCCGTACACAGAAAATATCCGGCTTGTAGATTGGAAACCTTGACTCTAAGTGTAACGCTAGAGCGGGTTCAAAATTTTTCGGAAATCGGAAAAGTTTTTGAAAACCAATTTTTCCCTTCCGTCGAGTATAAAATTGAAATAAAGATATAATTATCTACCGAATGAGCAAAAGAATGAATATTTTTTGCATGTTTTCTATGAAATATAATCGAATCTTTAAGGACATCGAAAATCAACGAAAAAAATGCGTGCTAATTAAGGCGCTTGTTCGAAAGCCGGCGTTTTGAGGTAACTGACTTATTATAGAATTATACTGCAAACTGATTAGCTTTACAGCCCCACTTAATTAATCTTTTCGAAACGGAAACGCATCTCTGAATTTCTGTTGACATCTCATGAGTTAACCCACTTACTGTAATTGACAGAAGTGCTCCTTTAATCAAGAATTTGGACGAAAAAGAGACCAAAAGGTACGAGAATTCACCTGGAATGAATGCCCAATTTGAGTGAGAAGCGTTTGAACATTGAATGTTTACTATCTGGCTCATGCCTACTGCCTTGCGGCAGGGTGCGCGAAGAGCGCTACTCATATTACGGCGGCATTGTGCTACATTCCAGGAGGGTTAGGTTTAGTGTTGGGGTTAATGTTAGGACGCCGAATTCGACGCAAGGCCACTTTTAATACGGAGGTTCATCCCGCCTTTCTTCACATTCTGTCGAGTTTTGTCGAGTAATTTGAGAACTCATTAAGTATGCTGTTGAAGCGGCAGGGAAGAGACAGCGAAAACACCAGCCTACGAGCATTTCGACGACAGCAATTCGGAGGAAATATTTTTAACTCATCAAAGTGACCCAGATTCTTGATAGGAATCAAAATACTCATATAAATGTATTATTATCTTGATATGTGGAAATTATCATGAAATACGTCAGTTTACCCCCGAAGAAATTGTCAAAAAACTATGGGCATTGAATCATATTTTCAAATAATTCATTCACATTGATCCAACTATGCAAAACTCAGCGCCTCGATGGAATTCAAACCCACGCAGTAAGGGAAAGGCTTAAGTACAGCCAACGCTTAAACCACTTGAAATACGAGGCCCCAACGGATGACGCGAGTTCAATTACATTTGGGTCAAGTTACCCGCCCAACCTACTGCAAAGTTTGGAATCCATCAAATCTGATACAGTAAGTTGACTGCCCAAGCAGGATTTCCTAAGTAATTCACGTAGAATCCACCAGATGACTATTAGGCTCACGTAATTCATAGATATTTGGCAGATTTTGAATAATTCTATGAATTATGTGAGCCTGGTAGTCATCTGGTGGATTCTACGTGAAGTACCTAGGAAATCCTGCTTGGGCTGTCAGCTTACTGTATCAGATTTGGTGGATTCCAGACGCTGCAGAAGGTTGGGCGGCTAACGTGACCCAACTGTGGTTAAACTCGTGTCATCCGGTGGGCCTCGTACCTCAAGTGGTTAGAGCGTTGACTGTACTAAAGCCTTCCTCCTTACTGTGAGGGTTCGTATTACACCAAGGCGCCGAGTTTTTCATAGTTGGCTCAATATGAATTATTCAAAATCTGCCACAATATCTATGAAATAATTTATTGGTAAAAAGACCAACGATCTGGGCAGAATTCGAGCCTGCGACCTTCCTACCTGAGTTAAGAAGGCCTGTCACACGGCCATGCGATTTTCACATTTGAGCGGCCCCTCGTTTGTGTTAGAGCTGGTGCAGTCTATTCGTGTCAGGGTTTTAGACGGCCACCTTAACCAACGTAAGCAAGTCTCAGGGCTTTGGAGCGGAGTCATTTGGCTCAGGTGTCTAGAGCGCGGTTGTACTGAAGCCATACCCCTACAAGCGCGGCTGTTACTCCGGCTCGGCCGCAGAGAGCTGCACGATTAGGTTCGTGGAACCACTCAAATCCGTCAAAAACACCTGTTAGATTCCATTCTACCCAGATCTTTACTGGGGAAAGAAGTAATTGTGAGCATTGAAAATTTTGGTTATTGTTACTCTACTGAAACGGTATTTGTTAAAGCTTTGGAATTTGAATTAGCAACGCCGGGAAAAACAGGGAGGTGGGGCAAGCATAAAGTAAAACTATGACAAAATGTGAAAAATCCAGGTCCTTGCTTGAAACGTAAAGGTTTATATTTGTACAGGATGAATTTAAATAACTACAAACTAGTTATAAGTAATTATGGGGAGCAGTTGTCTCAGTAAATAGGGAAAACCTGCAGTAACTGTCTTAATCCACGGCTTAGTAACTTATGTTCTGAAATGTGCTTTTAATTTGACAAAATGTATTAGGATTGGATCGGAATTTCGACTATCATGCAGTCTAGACCAAAGTTATTACGGTGCGTTGGAATTTGGACTTTCGAATGAAGTCCTATCCGGCCTTCTGCAGAAGTACCACTGGGTAAAAATAGCTACTTAACTGCCAGGAATTGTTCTCACTATCTGCCGATTTCCTTTTAAATTCAAGCATTTTTCATAGAAGACGTGCACATAATATTTCTCCCTGTATCGATTTGGCAGGTCACATCTCCTTCAAATTTTATGCACAAAAACTATTATCTATCGATTTCAAAAATTGTTTTCGATCCCCAGGTCATTTTAGTAAAAGTGTACCAGCTTAATACTTTTTGTGTGACCAAAATCATACCTTTCTCTATGGCATTAAAGGAATGTCCTATATAGCTGATAAAAGTTTGCCGTGAGCATGACGTTTGTCGGATACTTCATAGGGACATAAATACAGTACGTGGGCTAACTCATGAAATGGCAACCGAAATTCCGAATTGCTTTTTCGCTTCGGAAAGCTCAATGAAGTAGGGTTGTAAAACTAGTCAGCCCTGAATTCAAGTATAACGGTTGAAGGGGTTCAACATTATTCGGGAATTGAAAAAGTTTTTGAAAACCAAATTATACCCTTCCTTCGAGTATAAGATTGAGAGAAGACGTAATTGTCTACCGAATGAGCAAAAGAATGTATATTTCTTGCATGTTTTCCATGATATATAATTGAATATTTAAGGTTCATCGAAAATCAATGACAAATATTCATGCTATATATGTAGTCACTTTTTACAGAGTGCAGTTTTTACATGCAGCCGGAAGGAAGTTCCTTCGAAAACCGGCATCCTGTGGTAACTGAAATATTGTAGAACTATGTTGCAGGCCAACTAGTTTTACAACCCTACTTCATTAAGTTTTTCGAAACGAAAACGCATTTCGGAAGTTTCGTTGACATTTCATGAGTTAGCCCACCTACTGTAAACGGATCGGTATGATGCATTTTAAAGGAAAATTAAATGCCGTGGCCTCTCCACAGTCTCAGTAGTAGTTTTACGGCAGTCTTGCCTAAACATAAAGGTTGGCTTTCGCACACCGATATTTTACCGAGAACAACTGGAGATTGGAGACCAACGAGACTGCCCTGTGAAGTGACGTCTTCTGTCTCCCTTTTCAACGATTGGTTCCTGGAACTTCACTGAATCCCATACGCTGGTATGACTATCAGATTGGGATACGGCCAATCATTATCTTAAACCAGCGGCTTGCTCACACTCGTCTTATTTCTACGAATAGTCAAATCAACCGTCTGTCAAGACATCAGCCCTGGTCTAGCATGCAAAGTGAAAATGTTCAAATAGAATTTTTATGATTATTCTGAGCAATTCATATTGACCCAACTGTGAAAAACTCGGCGCCTCGGTGGGATTCGAACCCACGCGCAGCCAACGCTCTAACCACCTGAGCTACGAGCGTTGGCAGCGCTAAAGCCTTCCCCTTACTGCGTGGGTTCGAATCCCACCGAGGTGCCGAGTTTTTCACAGTTGGGTCAATATGAATTATTCAAAATCTGCCAAAATGTAAATGTATTCTGAGTAAGCCATAAGAGGCAAGGTGGGTGCCTTAACTTCCGTTGTCAATTTTTGCCGAACACTCTAATTTAATATGTCTCTCCGCGGTAGAGATACTTGCAGACATTACACGCATTTTAGCAATGCCACAGAACCTCCCATTTGGCCTCGGAATTCAATCTTCTGTATTCCCATCCGACCAAAAATCTTGTATTCGAGGGGCGCTAAGTGAATGCCACATAACCCCGCCCCCCACCCGGCCTCGAAATTCAATCTTCTGTATTCTCATACGACCAAAAATCCTGCATTCGGGGGGGGGAGGGGGGGCTAGTGAACTTGAAGATATGGCATGCGTAATCCGCATCATTCTGTTTTATCCCTCACCACAATTACCCCACCTAATTGAAGACCCTTTTTATTTCTTTTCTGTACCCAGAGAGTGACTAGTTCGAGTTCAGCCTTCTACATGAACCTCTCCTATCTGGCTCTCTGTCCAGCCTTCTGGCTGGCCATACCGCTGACCCTAGTCCTCGCTCTGCTGCCGGATCTGCTCTGGAGACTGGGATCGGATATTTGGTGGGCTCAGAAGATCAGCCTGAGTTCTGAAAACGGCCAACACGGAGTTCTGAGCACCAGTCCTGGACCTGACTTCGCAGAGCTTTAAGCAACTTTCACACAACCCCAAATACAGACACGCAGGACTGAAATGCACGTAAGCATGTGCGCGTTTTATTCGGTCCTGTCCAAAGCCCAAAGACACTCTGTCCAAAAACTTCGCCTATCCCAAGGTTATCTTCAGACGAAAAAACGTCTGCTAACTTTGAAACATGTGGTGTTCAAGACTATTTATCAAGTCTGATTGTTGGATGGCATGTAAACGTGGTGCATTGTGCTGGGGTCTGGGATGAGATGTGGAAATTTGAATGTCTCCAGTAAGTCCAAAAAGACCACGGCGTTTATCTAGTCCCCCTTTGGCAATACCTGACGATTATCGATTGATCGATGCCATTGGAGTGTAATAAATCTCTCTAGAACAGGGCTTAATGGCAAATATGGCAGTCTTACATTCGGACTAGGCAGGTGAAGGCGATAGTTTAGCCATCAGAAGCGACAGGATCCAGCATTACCGACGAGATGAAAGCAGCCGTCACTTGGGTCTTAATGAGATGAGATTGAGGAGGGCTTGTTTTGCACCAACCTTACTCTCTCTCTTTCCAAAGTGGGGATGGCAGGGTCAGGCGTGGACAGGGTGACTGGCAAAGCGTCGCAGTCCGTCTACTCGTGTGTCACAATAAACACGGCTTCTTACTCCACACGTATCAAAGGGTCTCCGATACTGCAGTGGTCACGTATTCATTATCTGCTTTCAAATTTGCATGTCGGCTACAATGCTCAGGTAGGTTTCCCACGTCATGTAGATGACGGCTTCCATTAAGAAGGTCCCATTATGCCTGACCACTAGCTTCTGGTAGGACTGAGATGTAGCTCGCCAACAATTTAACTACGATTATCGTTTCTTCAGACCTGTTGTAGTCGCTATCGCACTCACTCTCTTATCCCTCCCCCCCATTTACCAGTCAGTAGTCCGAGGCTGAAAGCCGACTGGAAATTGGATTATGCATGATGAAAGTTTGGCGGGTCGTACGGATGTATGGCAGTTATTAAGGTTTCACAGAGACTTGTCAGTTCGACTGTCACTGTCACTGTTGGGTGTCCACTGTTTGCCCACAAGAAAGCAAGTACAAGATGGCGACATGCATGCGGTAAGAAACGTTACCAGCATCTACCAAAGTTTACCACTCCCCCCCCCCTTTGGTCCAAGACAAAACTAAGTCATAATGACCGCAGACGGCACCGTACGCAGCGAGTGACAATGATCGACAGCTCGTCTACTCGCGTACCTGCCTCACCGGTTTAAGGTCACTGTCAAAACTGGGTCGAGAAGATCAGAGGCGGGGTCAGTTTCAGTGGCTAGCGGAGCTAAACAGTCCGTCTACAGGCGACCCGGTCCGCGCATGAGGCTTCGCTTGGATCTCATGCAAGTTGGAGTGTCATAAAGCGTTGTTATGGTGTACGATCGCGTTCGACTATTTGTAGTGTGTACTGAGGGGCCGTGGGAATGGATTTCGCAGCGTCCACTCCACTCACTCTTCCATCTCCCATGCTCCAGTCCGCTGCTTGAGCTTGTCAGCTAGAATCGCGAGTAAGTGGCTGGCGTGGTGTAGACCGATGCATAGGCGTGACACCACACTATCATACGCGGATTCTGCGCAAACCGGTTAACTTGTGGCGCACATTTATTCAACCTCTGTGTTGGTCTGCGTTATCCGCTTACATAAACTTAAAACCGCACCAGAAAACGCATTACATGGATCAATTAGGCCCCGTTGTAGGCCGACGTAACAACACCTGAGGTTGTTTTACCGAAAGAGCCCGGTAAGCGCAGTAGGCGCGCTATTTTAGCCATTCCTTATTATTGCCGGCAGGATATGGGCTCGGGTATTCTATCACAAAACGTTTATATTCACTACTAACTTGGTGTTCGCTCGGTTCCCACCTCTTTTTTTAATGAACAAGGACAAGTAGGTCAGAATTTTATAATGTTTTACCATACTGACAACACGGGTATTATGGTGAATAACTAAACAACTGTTTGCTATCGGTTGCCTTTTGGGAGTTCGTGAATATCATAGGTTATTCCGCACTAGCTCAAATATTCCAATCAACTTTCAAACCATGTCCTAAATGGTCTGATGTAAAGAATTTACTCCGAGTTCGTGCACTAATATTCTCGGAAACTAAAGAATGTGAAATAAAAAAGTCTTAACTGCTGCTGTTTTAAATAATTTTGCTTCCAAGTTATCGGATATATACCAAAATCGAATGCTCCTTAGTAACTTAAATCTACTAACGTCGCTTTTTACAACCCAAATCGTCAATAAAACCTTAAACCCATTCGTATAATTTCGACGAAATTTTTAATTCCGACAAGGCTGTCTGGGGAGAGCTCTCTCTCGTACAAAAAATGCTCTTTTTATCGGACATTTTATTAAATGAGAGATTACTGTAGTAAGCATTTTTACTTATGAGGTACATTCAATGCACAAACCTCCGGTCATATGTCCCTCTCCCGGCATGCGGAGTCGCGCTTGTTCGTCATATAACCAGGACGGATCTACGTGACTTACTGGGCCCGAATTAAACATCTGAGGCGCCAGAATCTGTCGACTGCTCGTTCACAGCACACAAACCCAAAATGGTTATTCTAATATAATTTTATTTACCGGCTAGGCTTGTCAGTTGTTGATTACGGTTTACCAACCCTTTATCCAGTAAGCGATTAATTCTCTACCGGCAGTGGACAGTGTTCAAGCGGTATTTGGATAGATGTGATGAAAAATCAGCCCAGCTTACTGTCCACATTCCTTGTATCTAATCAGGAGCTCAGAGAGATATGGTCCTTGCCCAAGCGAAAGATGAAGACCCTTTGATAACCGATAATGCCCATGAAACTGCAAGATCTGCTTTCCATGACATATATTGTGGTTACTCAAGTGGGTGGCGAATTATACGGCCCTGTTTCAGCTAGCAGTGCAAGGTCGGAAACGATATTGAATCACCTAACATGAAGGGTGTTTGTCCTGTTTCGCAATTCTAGAATCTTTTGTTGACTTTAAACTCCATGGAGTTTGCAGGGGGGTCACGCGAGATTGCAGAAATCAAGGGCTCTAGAACTGCAGCTGTAATTGACCCAGAGGTAAAAAACTCAGCAGTTACATGGGTGGGATTGAAGGACTATTTCCGCATGGTTTTGGCCATCAGCTCAAGCGACCTATTTAGGAAGCCGATTTCGCGCCTGTTCCTCGTCTACTTCCACATCGTTTTCTTCATATAGGAAAAAATTTGCCGTGAATTCGTTGAAAAACCCCCTCTCTGAGCATTTGAGCACCGGTTAGATACTGTTAGATCAAACTCCGACAACATGTCGTAAAAAGCTGTTATTCACTACGGAGTCGTGGAGAGGTTCACCACTCCTAGTCTGTTGAAAATTAGCGCCATGGCAACCACCCCACTCTACCCAATTCAGCGTTTTAATCTCGTTGCTGGCATGCACTGGAAAGCAGGCACTTTAGAGACGAAAACAATATCCTTTTTAAACCCCAAGGTCATCGTTTGCTTTCCTTTTCACTCGTCTTTGCATGTGCTAGTCATTTATAAATGCTTCACAGCATTCTAAAACATGACGCCAGTTCAAACTGGGCAGACGGCTGGTCTGTATATAAAACCTGAAAAATGGAGGAATCCCCACTCCAAACTGCCAGGTTTTCACATTAAGGGGTACAAATTATTGACGAGATCGAAAGTGGAAAACGCGCTTAGTACGCGAAAGATACCGGTAGACATAGGATAAACCATAAGGGCAAATGAAGACGGACTGCTTCTTGTGATCATGACATGTAGAGCTTCGGATCCATGAAGCTTACCAGTTTTTGGCGAGACGTATTAATATGAACGTCACTGTATTACAGATGGTATGGTAAGAGTTGGAGTTAGTGTGAAGCTTAATGTTAAAACTATGACAGGAATGTAGGCATCCTCTTTGGAATCTAGCATATTAGCGCCTTCTCAGATTAATGTTTGTATTTTCATTCATCTAAAACACAAGTGAATCATTTAAATACTTTTGCAACGGGGTAGCATAGTTAATTAATACAAATCGTCGCACACCATAATCTCATGATTATTCAGTTACTTCGGATATCTTTCTCTTTATAAAAAACGACTTCTTAAATATAATGGTTTTTTCTTATTGATTTCCGATGCCCCTATGTATTCACACATACTTTAGACAAAACATGCACAAAACAATTTTTTCTACTTTCTGGTAGAAAACTACGCCTTCTTTAAACATCTGCTTCAATGAAGAGGATTATTTTGTTTTGAAAACCTTTTTCGATTACAAATGATCTTTTACCCGACATAATGTTACACTGGCATTCAGGATTTCCAAACTACAAACTGAATTTTTAGTTTATGCAAAATCATGCGTTTTCGTAAGTTACTAAAGAGAAACCATAAAATGTTCATAAAGCTTAGCAGTGGATTTCAGCCAGCTCTGCAAACGACATTGGTAAATGCACAGACGTGATGCCTTATGAATGCGCATTGTACTGTCTTAAAAAGCCTCATAATTATAAACTTTTTAAAGACGTAGTTCTTTACTAAATGAGCAAAAGAGTGAATTTTTTTACGCATGTTTTCTATGAAGTAATTAAATTTAAAAAATCATCAGAAATCAATGAGGAAAGACTGATACCTGTTAAGAAGTCATTTGTAGAGAGTATATTTTTTGCAGGCGGCCTCTCGATAGTGGATATGGAACCCCACTTAAATAAACCTTCTTAGTTGAGAACGAGCTTCATAATTCTGGTTGACATTTCACGAGTTAACACATCTGATATAAGTACAGTAGGTGGGTTGACTCATGAAATGTCAACCGAAATTCAGAAATGCGTTTTCGTTTCTAAAGTATTGCTTAAGTAGGGTTGTAAAACAGGTCATCTTGCAGCGTAATTCTATAATAATTCAGTTACCTCAGGATGACGGCTTTCGAACGAAATTCTTTTCGGCTGCATGCGAAAACTACACTCTGCAGAAAAGGGC